AATTACTGACTCATCATGTTGCATACGACACGATTAAACACTTAATTGAAGCGACAATTTCTATGTTGAAATGGAACATTAACAGCACAGTTACTTAACAGAGATTTCATCACATTGTAAGTTGTGTAATCGAAACTTGATGTGAAACCAACAATAAAATCAAAAGAAAAATAAAGTTCAAAGTATCTACCCCTTTGAAAGTAAAATAGCACCTACCTATGTTTTATACGTATTTGAATGAAATTGTATAAAAAGTAGCCAAAACTCATTAGATAATATATTTTTGTTAACTAAAGACAAACCTTAGAAAATTCTTGGACCCTATAAATCCTCATATTAGCATATCAAGCCATAGCAATATTATTAAATTTTATAACGCCTGCTCTTTATTGTGGAGTGTGAAATTGCTGTTAAGAAATAGAAAGCATTATGATGTGTAAAGAATAACTGTCTAAGAAGCCTGTGCACCAGCTTTCGGGACATTATAAGGCTGATAATTATAACGTCTAAAGGATCAAAAATTTCCCAATTATGGTAGCAACAATAGCTGGATATTTAAGTAATATGTATTATTATTTAGAGGCAAGGTTTAGTATCAGGGTTTATTTATTAACCTTAGATAGCACTAGTCAAAATTCATATTATTATACAGAGTAAGCTAAGTAAGGTTATACAGGAGTTGCTTAGGCTGATACTTAATATGTATTTTAGCTACAGACCTAAATGAATATAATAATTTAATTACACTTCAATCTGTATATTTCTTGCCCGTAATGATATCCTTTGCTAGAATTTAAAGTTATTTGGACCACTGAAGTTTGCTAATTGCCAACTTTCAGCTTTTACCTCCACTTGTAGGTTCCGTTCCCTCACTCCCTGTAAATTAATACCCATCGAGAGTAAAGTCGCGCTTGCACACCCGCTTTCCAAAAAAAATGGCGGGAATCAGCGGCAGCTCACGGTGCGTATGCGCACCTAGCACACCGTGTGTACGTCAAGGTAGCAGGCACACCGAAAAATTTGATGGTCTTATGTATGTCAATAAATTGTGAGTAAATATGTAGTGACAAATAGTGATATATAGCATATTTTTATGCACAATATTTATAATAAATATCTCGAATTCAAACAATTATTTATTAATAGTGATCTTAGATCGCCTGTTACCTAGACGTCTAGGTTTTAATTGAATTTGAGGTATTTCTGATTAATGTTGTGCTTGCTAACATGACGCTTAAAGCAACCGCGATTAAGAAGAGGTTAGAAAACGGGTAAGAATTTGAAGCTAATAAATACACAAAACAATTGTGACTGAAGTTATGATTTATAAACCCAGAGTATATTTTTTATTACTCATATAATAACTTCTTCTTATTAAATGATAATGGATACTTACGATGAATTTAAACTTCATTGTGCTGCAATAAGGTCTAAATATATTTTTAGTGTTGTGGTGAGTACCATCGAGTAAAGAAATGTAAATGGAAATTAGACTTAAGTTTTATTAAATGTAGATTTATATATATACTTAAAATCCTTAATGTATTGAAATTTAAATTCTGCAAAAAAACTTATAGCGTAATGTGACGTACTGTTAATTGTACAAAAAATAAATAATTATTATTGGTTTACAAAGAACTATTCTATAGAAATTCTAATCGGGATTTTTATAAATTTTGATTACTGTAAATAATCTTTCTTCGTCATATAGAAGTGTTGCAAAATAAAAGTAGGTACACGATTGTTACCACTTTTCACGTTGTTCAAAATCTACCTTTTATTAGTTTTTATGAACTACTCAAATATTATATTTTAACATATCGAATACTTTACTCTTAATGAAAAGTCCTTGATCCCAAAGACCATGTGAAGAGGGAAATGCTTTCATATTCGCCCATTAGCGATTTTTGTATTATATGTTGACTTTTATAATGGCATTCGTATTTACTGAACAGAATCCAGGCAATGACTATAAAGGGCTACAAATCTAATTTCATACCAATTCCGTCCGGTATTCCACAGGGCTCTCATCTCGGTCCTTTGCTATTCAATTTTTTTTTTATAAATGATGTTAGTGAATGTTTTTAAAATCCAACATATTTTTTTATTTGCCGATGACACAAAGATATCTTCTATTATTAAATCTGTTGAAGACTGTATTAAAGTTTAAGAGGACCTGGTTGGTTTATGTAATTACTGTGCCTCAAATAAGCTGTCTATAAATATTAATAAATATTGTTATATCAATTTCACTAGAAAAAAACACAAACGAAATTCAAACATCAACTTTTTGATAGCTTTCTTTAAAAAAAATTTGAAGTGAGGGATTTGGGTGTTACGCTGGACAATGAATTGCTTTTCTCGTCTCGTATCAACAAAATTACAACTAAGGCTTACATAATGTTAGGCTTAATATTTAGCCAGAGTAAAGACTTTACGAATGTAGAAACTGGATTAATTTAACAAAATAGCTTTGTTAGACCTCAACTCAAATATTTGTCTACTGATTGGAACCCGCAGTATTTAATATATATAGGTAAAAGCTGTAGAAGAAATCCAAAACAAATTTATTAGGAGGCTATAGTACATGTTTCAGGGATTTTACGAGGCCAAAGTTGAATCACTGTCGCGCAGAATGGAGCATAGACACTTGAAATTGAACTTTTTGTGACTATATTACAATTGATATGCGTAAATCAAAATTATAATACGTAAATTTAATGTTATAAAAATGCTTACTGTTTTATTTCCTTTGTAAAAAAAGTATATTTAATAGATTTTAAAAACATATAATCGGTTTAAATTATTGTTTTGTGTAAGTGTCATGACATGTTCTCTTGGCTGGTCTTTTAAGTATTTTTGAATATTGATTTAAACAGCTCGTTATGTGTGAAATAAGCTGCAAACATCAGTTTGTGGAGTAAAATATACAAGTTTATGGTGTAAAATACACGCGCCTTCGCAAAGTTCCTTTAATATAATAAAAATAATAAAAAATTTAACCTAGTAGCAAACATTTTTGTTGAATTTTAGGCTTTTTAGCATTGTTTTAACAACATAATTGCTTTTATAGGCATCTGTGCACAAAATAAATGATTATTTACCCCTTTTCATCTGACACAGTTGACTTTAAATATTTTGTAAGAATTGGAAAAAGAAAGCAAATGGCGACTCGTAAAATTAAAGCATTAGGTATTCAAATATGGTGTAGTAGAGCTGTTAATCGTATTATGGTTAGACACAAAACTAAGAGCTCGTAATTCACCGTATAACACACTCCCATTTTAGGTACAGCCGTATTTTAACACTTCAGAAGTATCTTATAGTGCTTATAATCATCAAACGATTATTTCATTTTTATTTTGATTTTTAAAAGCTTCAATTAAATTAGAATACTCTTTTTTCAGTTTTCTTTTATATCCACCTGTTTTCTTTGTTTTTCCCAACGTTTTTTTGTCCATGGCCAGCGATGCGTATAAAATGCCACCATTACAATACAATACATAAAATAATTTTACATTTTAATTTCACATAAAAAATAATTACGATCTATTTATTACTTGTATCTCTATAAATAACTTAATATTGATCAAAATATAACCTAATGTTTTATAAAAGCATAGATTAAGAATATAAAGGAGCTTGAGCTTGATTAAAGAATACTTTAAGAACAAATCGGTGCTAAAGTTTTACTAGCTCTTTATTCAATGTGTATATAGGATAAGCATTAAATCGATACAACCATAGGCCATTAGAATACCTTTGTTTCTAGAAAATGACTAAATACAACTAAGTGCACTAAATAATATTACGTTTATGCTTATATAATATATAATGTTTTTTATATCACCGAAATACGATAACAGCTTTATATTAATATTACCCAATACTTAAATGGGAATTTTGACATTGGTATACTTTTTTTATTAACCATAATATGGCATTAAGCATTATTAGATAAAATAAATGCCTTTAAACAGATTCGAAACTTGACCAGTGTTGATTAAAAATGTTAGTGTGACTTTAGGACATAAATCGGTACTTATTTTAGTTAATATATTATTTATGTGCTACTTGGGAACCTTCAAACTTTCAAGCGTAGAGCATATTGTAGCCCCTCTGGTGTTGCAGGTGTCCATGGGCGACGGTAATCACTTACCATCAGGTGATCCGTCCGTTCGTGTTTTTTTTATGTGATCATGTGGTCACATAAAAAAAAAATACAGGCCCTATCGACCATTGTAAATGCGTTTGCACTAGTCAGGAAACCGATGACAGTCAATGACCGTCTAATTAAAATAAGCAAAGAAACCATCGCACTCTGCATGCAAGCCCTATCGACCAATGGAAATGTGTTTGCAATAGTGGATAAACCAATGACGGACTATGATCGCCTATTGATCGTCCGCAGTCCGCAGCGACTAATAAAAATGAGCTTACACCAGTCTATAAACCTTGGAACTCTTATATATTCGTCAACGTCATGTCTGTCTGTCTGTGCGTCGGTCACTATGTCACAGCCACTTTATTTCAAAACTATTAGCATAGTTAAAGTTAAAGGCAATCAAAATGTTAGCAAGACTTCTGCCCCACTTGGCAGAACCGACTTCATATTATAATAAGGGGATAGATATTTTTCTCTAAAGTGACTGCTATTGAAGTCAAGTAACTATCATTTAATTTATGACCTACAATAAACATCTGTCCCACTTAAATAGCAGTTCCTTGAATAGGTCGCTGTTAAGTATTCTTTAAAAAATTATTTTTCATATAGGTTATGCTTCCACAACTTTCTTCACTATATTACTAGGATAACTTAAAAACATTCTAGCTAAGTAAATACAATGAAACGGTGATCCAAATAATTTGGCCAAATATTCATTTTGGTAAAAGTTTTACCGAATACTATTTGGCGCATCTCTAGTAAGATCATTAAAATGTGAGCAACTAAAATATTTCTAGTTCATTATTAATTCTTAGCTCAAAAAAAAGGAAAATATGCCTAATAATATAATTTATTCACCAGTACTGCATACAACAATTAAAGGTTAAGTGTTAATTAATCTATTTTATGGTTTATTCACTTCTTCTTGACTTGCTGAGCCTCATCAATGGGGTCCAGCTTGGGCTCCTCAAACTTGAATGTTGGGAATGAGGTCATATCAACACCCGATCCACCTCCATACAATTTCTCCAGTTTTTCAAGTTCTGTCTTGAGCTCCTTTTCGATTGCTGGGCTTGGATCAACCAATTTGCCACCACTGTAATTTTAATAATGCATTTACTTTGCTGTCCACAGAAAATTTTAAGATAGCTTAAAATATATTTATAATAAATCTTATCTTGAAAATTCAAAGTAATTTTTTCTAGCCCAGCTACAGAATACAAAAACTACAAACTTGATGATGACAAATCCCTCATTGTTTGTCTTTTTTATAACACAATCCAATAATAAACTAGTTATAGTTAATAGTTATTTTAGATTTGGCTGCTGACGAAGATAAAGAATATTTTAATATAATTTATTTTCTGTGACTTCAATTAATAAAAAGTCAACAAAGTAAGTAAAATTTTTGACAAAAAAATCTTATTGTAGTGACCTTGTAATCAGTACTGGATATAAAGGATTATATCCAGAACAATAGCAGCTATAAAGTGCGATATCACTTAGTCATACTTATAATTTGAACTATATCTCTAGATTAATTTATTACTTCTAGAGGATACTTACGCACTCTTTTGCTTGTATTCTCTAATTTTGTCTAGAAAAAGTTGTTGTATGGGATCTGTAGCCTTCTGCGCGGCTGCTAAATTTCTGGTTACAACAACCGAAGTGCGGGCTGCCCTTAGGCTACTAAGGAGTGAAGAACTGAGCATCTGAAACATTACATTAGCAACCTAACCTTAATACAAAGTTATATAACTAGGATAAATTCTAGGAAATCCTTATTTATAACGGAATTGGTACACTTTATAGTCTCCATCAGCTAAAATATATGAAAGTAATTCGCAAATGTAGTAATTCATTCTGATTTTCATTACCTTTCTGCTTATAATAATGTATTCTATAAATTTCGGCCCGAAATTTTGAGTGACAGCATAAATGACTTTTGGATGTCAGACAGCCAGTGTTACCAACTCCTAACAAAATAAAACCCTAAAATCAAACTGAAATAACCCTAAACCCTGAAAGGTATAATTAAAAGAACCAAAAAAAGCCCTGTCCTGCTTATGTTACAGATTTAATAGTATTGTTTAAAAAAGTTTTCTGTGTTATTAAGGTGAATACAATACACCTCAGTTTTAATTTGATTAACTTTATTAGTTTTTATTCATAAATCGCTTATTTTTTCCCAAGCTGTTTCTATGCCGCCATCACAGTCCGGTAATAACGGTCCGGAATAGAGAAGAGTAAAATCCCGGACCATAAAATTACTGTATAAGCTAGCATTACCTACGTATGGCCTGACATATCAGACCGGAAAAAATCGGACTGCCGGACCTGAAAATTCAGTGTAGTGCACAAGCGCCTTCATGGCTTTTTGGGTTTTCCACAAAATTTATTAATATTATTACAAATATTCACAACAAACTTAAACTTTGAATTAGCATTGTCAAAGTTGCCAATTCATATTGCTACATAAAAATTGATAGTTTCTTTTTATTTTGAATTATAATATAGTTCTAATTTTTAATAAATGTATCAATTTAAAATCATTAGAAAGCTATACATATTTTTATTACTAGGCATTAATACTTTTTGTATATGCTGGCAAAACACTTGGTCCTAGAGTGAAGGAAACTAGGAAACGATTTTATTGTTGAAGTTGAAAAATGAGAAAAGTTCTTAGGAAAAGTTTGATCTTTTTATGTTTCCGCCAAAGACAATTTAAACACTACGTTTTTCCCGCCATTTTATATTCCCCTTAAAGGTTTGCGCTTTTTACGTGTTTTCCTTAAAATCTAATTTTCCAAGATGAATATTAGCGATATTAGTAAAGTAGCTAGTAGAAAGAAACTAAACGTGGACGCAGAAAATCTTCGTGACAAAGTTTCTCGAGAAACAGCAAAAATTATTAAATTGAAGGTACGTCGACGCGAAAAATACTTTCGTGTAATGAGTACTATTTGATCATAAAATAAGAAACATATTATTTATGATTTCTAGACTAATATAATTATTAATCTTGTAAAGTATAACTCGTACGAATTAACATATTATATGAGGGCCTTTTATCTTCAAACGCAAAAACGAAAGATTTCTAATCGTTCCTAAAATTTTGTCAAAATCTTATCGTGTCCTATCTCCGTTGCATCATAAATTATCGAAAAATGAGTTTCTTTGGAATCGTATAACATTTCGAAGAGATGATATTTCGTTAGCGCAGAAATAGAATAGTCCTTCAGTGTCAGTTAATTTGTACGAGAATTGCAACGAAATTATTTCTTAATAGGCAACTGAGGAAAACAAGGTAAAAGATTAAAGAACTATTCTATTTCTCACAAGCAAAGTTAGTATTATAGTTTAGATACTTTGCTTATAAAATGTTTATGGACTTTTATGCAGGTAGCTCAGGATACCGCATACTGGGACTTGAAAGAAAAACTGCAGCAAGTTGAAGGTAACCATGAGCGTCTGCAGCAGAACATGGTGGAGGTTCAGATGCAACACGAGGCGATCTCGGGCCAGTACCAAGAAGAGCTGCGACTGCGTCCAGAGACGCTCAATAAGTAAAAATTTTAAGAAATTTGAGGTTCCATAGCAGCACATTAGGATTACCATAAATTGACGAATTTTACTAAATCTACTTTAAATATAATACAATGTATAAAATACTCGAGACATACGTATTTTTCCGAGGAATCCGTAGACATACGTAGAGACATACTTATTCACTAAATTTTGTAATAAACAATGTACTAATGAAACATTCGATCCTATTAATAAACAAGGTTTAGCGTCAGAGTAAATTTATGCTAAAATAGCAATTTTTATATTGGTCCAAAACTATATTATACAGAAAATAAGCAAACCTACTGCCTTCGAGGTGTAAATATTACTCTCGTAGAGCCTCATACTATGTTAGCCACCTGAAGGGTGTGGTAGCAGATTGAGGGTAATGAGCACCTCCCAGGCTTCAGGGAAAAAAGAACATAACAAAAAAAATTGTTTTAACAATCTTTATTTAATTTTGAATCTCAGGGGTAGGAAAATAGATTCACTCGTTATGGTTCTTGTGACTTCTATTGGGAGGACTTATCTTTAAAGTTGAAAAAGAGATTTATCGTCGAGTTCGCGGGGTGTCAGTGTCACGGGCAGGGCAGAGGCTGGCGATAAACCCGACGTCAGCTCCGGTCAGCAGCACCGGTGAGCCACTAAGACCCGACAGGTAGGACGCAGAGTAGCGTAGGTCAGGCGGGCTGCAGTGGAAGAACCCTTTGAACACAAATCCAAACCCTGAACAAAAGTTCAATAAGTCCAGCTACCTGTGGTATGAAACAAATAAGATAGCTCAAGTAAGTTGCAATAGCTTCAATAAAATCTACCCGATAAAAAAATAAAATTCATATTTCAAATGATATTAAAAATCATTTAGAATGAAGCTAAATTAAAAGACGCTATGATACATATTTTACAGATAAGTTATTAATATATATTAAATGAAAAAAAAAAATATATGAATGAATGAAAAGATGATTAAGAACATTTTGTAATAATACTAAATACAAGAATATAATATATTTATGTTTAAATAATAACATTTCTGAAATTGAAAATATATTAATAATTATGTATTATTTATAGTAAAAATTCTATAATATTTACTTATATATCTATTTCATATTTATTAAAATAGAAATGAAGTATTTCCGTGCGATATACTATTTCACCATCAGGAGCCGCGCTGCGTTCTTGTCTGTCTGCCTATACAATAATTGTTACCTAAAATTTTTTTTTGGTGATTATTTTTCTTTAAATATTAAAATAAGTTTTATTTGTATTTATTGTGTTTATTTGTATCAAAACATAAAAAGGCATGTAACGAATCAGTTGAACATGCGAAAGACAAACAGTTTATTTAGAAAACTGTTACACTAGTAGTCTCTGTTAAATAATATGAATTGTGATGAATACTAAGTGCAGCTTAAATTTACTCCAACGCAAACCCTGTTTATTGATAACACTGTTTAAGCACACGAAAATACATAAATGAATTCTTCAAACAATAACCATACAAATAGTCATAATCGGTACGATGGAAACGATCATAAATCGCTTTTAAATATTTCATGTGCTAAAACTTCCATTCGGGACAATATTGATAACACTCGTCAGTGTATGTTTACGACCTAGAAGGTAATCTTTGACAAGGATGAGCAGCACCCGCGAGATATGCGACGTGCTCGAGGAGTACAGCGAGCGGCTGAAGGAGACGCTGTGCCGCTGCAGGCGCGACCAGGCGGCGCTCAGCGACGCGTACCGCCGCTGCGGCCGCCGCGCGCGGGACGCACATCAGCAACGTTAGCGCCACCATACATTAGGGGCCGAGTGCACCGACCCATCCGTACAAACATGATGTCACTAAAAATTTACGAGTTCACGGGAAGTGCCCTGTAGGTTTTGATTCCCTTGCGAGTTTCGAAAATTTTCGATACAAACGGCTGTATCTTTTGATTGCGTTGGTTTAGAAGTTTGACTTCTATCACAGCTCCAAGGGACAGGAGTATTTGACATAAAAATAGATTACCTAAAAAAATAGCCTTGACGGACAGCCAACAAAGTCATCCTGTAAGGATTCCGGTTTTCTTTTCGAGGTACGAAACCCTAATTATGTAGTAAGAAATAACACTCGAGGACGTATTCTCGTAAGAGTTCTGCAGGCGTGAGCGGCGCAGTACTGTAAAATTTAAGAGAGGAGTCCAAAAACTCGTAACGTCTCCTGTCTTGTGTAATATCTATGTACCATGTGCTAGACCCATTGTTGCGCGCGCCCTTATATACAGATTTTACTGACTAAACAACGCAATGGACTCTTCAGATAGTCGAATATGCGATTTACGCCAAAAGTTAGATAACCAACTTCTTCGATCATACCTCCATTATATATTAAAAAATATACTTAGGTATTACTTACTCGGGAGAAATAAATAAGGGCGTGTCTTTTTACAGCTAAAAATGTGAAAATAAATTACTTCCCATAAGAATAAAGACGAAAAGACAGTATAGTTTCACTAGTTCTATTTATTAAAATATAAACATCAATAATTTTGGCAGTAAAGCTAACTGAAGAACACCATAGCCAGTTGATGCAATTCTTCACATCGTCCAAGCAGCAGCTCGATTCGGAGTTGAGTGACACTAGACAAAAGCTATACGATGCTTTGCAGCACAAGGAAGAACTAGTGGCCACCGCGGCGGAGCTGCGCCGTCAGCTGGACCTCAAGCAACATGACCTGCTAGCAGTAAGTCTATCTCAACCAAGATTCTTGCATCCATACTTGTACCGATTTAGCACTCTCATCCGTAAATATAATTAAATAAAACAAAAGCCCGCTGTGAACTACAAGTGAGGAGCGCCACATATATAGTTCGGTTTTCGTTACGGAAATTTAACAACTTTCCCAGAAGTCTAATAGGATAGGTGATAAAAAAAAAACAATCTCAAATTCCTCGGTTCTCGAGCCTGCGCGGTGTCCTTCCTAATCGATTCGATTCTGTTCTATCCATGAGAAGAACTATGCCCAATAGTACGAACATATACTGATGATAGTGAACCACGAGCACCATATAATTTATAGAAAGAAGAAGCGGTGACATCCCTGCAAAAAGACATCAAGCAACTTCTACAGGAGTTTAACATGCAAGCAGGCGAAATGAAGAACACTTTGCACAAACAGGAGAAAGAGTAAGCTTATTCTATAATGCCTGGAGTAGCTCGGTGGCGTAGTGGATTAGCGCCGCGGCCCGTGATCGTAGTCGTAAAGCAACTTTCACAAGGGTCGGTCACGGGATGGGTGACCAAAAATTATTATCTCGAGCTACTCCGTGCTTCGGAAGGCACGTTAAGCCGTTGGTCCCGGCTGCATTTGCAGTCGTTAATACCCTCCAATCCGCATTGGGCCAGCGTGGAGGGTCATGGCCCATCCTCCTTAACCATCCATAAGGAAGGCCTGAGCCCCTGCAGTGGGGACGTAAAAGGGCTGATGATGATAATGCCTAGTATAAAGAAATTACTTATGTGACTTTTATTTTGATTATTTTACTGTGTAGTATACTTTGCCAAGCAATGGGTATAACGCATGGAGCGTTTGAATTTTAAAGACGTTGTATACGTTTCAGCTTTAATGATTGTTTTTCACTCTATTATAAAATTGCAATTCTTCTAAATATGTTTTTTTAGAATCAAGGAGGCATGCGAAGCTAACGAGTCTTTGAAAAAGGCGTTATCAAACCAAGAAGAGTTCATTAGTACAATTCGGGGCCAGAACGCCAATTTGCAAGATAAAATCTCGTGCCTTGAAGATGAGCAGACGACAACGATTAGGGCCCTCGAAGATATTGAAACTAAGTTGCAGGTAGTCTAACATTAGACAATCAAAAACCTACGTATTGTCTATCCTACCGCTTACTTTTTTGAGACTGAAATCATGTAATAAATTGACATTACCAGTAAATGATCGACCTCTTGTATTTAATTACCTTTCGCAGGTGGCAAACTTAGAAATCGAAAGTTTGAAGGAAGAAATTCAGGCTCTTAATGAACAAAAGCAGGAATTGGAAAATATTCACAAATGTAAAGATGATGTAAGTTTCAATATTGTGAATAGTTGGTAAGGTTTTTGTTGCGTGAGCTATTCTGTAATGGACAACAAATGTTTAATTATGAAGTAGAATATAAAGGAGTCTATACTGTAAACAACGTTTTAAACCAATCGGGTAGCTTGAAAAATATTTCTACGAACTAAGATAATACATATTTTTAAAGTAATATACTGCCTATTCCCTCGATTACACCTCGTGTTGCTGTCTCCGCGATATCCTACATGGAATAAAAATGTGCTGTCCCAATAATAATTTTTTTAACGATATGTACTATGTTTATCAGATTTGACAATCTCCTATTTAGACTTAATTTGTAGCAAAGTTTATTAGGTTTATATATTCTTCTTTAATATTGTCTCCGATATAGATGCTAGCAAAATACGAAGAAGAGTTAGAGAAAGTTAAAAGTCAGTTGCGTAATTTGGAAGATGAAAATAATAAGATTTCGTCTCAATTATGCAAGACTGAAGGCGAAGGGAAAGAGAAGGTCGTTCACATTGAACATCTAGAGGTGACACTCCAACAAAAAGATAAGCAAATTGCGGATATGCAGGATGAGTTGGTTAAGTACAAGTAGGTATTTCTATTTTATACGTATATAAAAGGTTATAAAGTATAACCGAATCACTCATTGACTAATCACGAACTCACCAGATGATATCCGGAAAACACTAAATAAAGCCTACAGCAATGTTACTCAATATTTTTTGACTAAAAACCACTTCAACATTTTAATTTTAATTGTAACTGGGACTACAAAAGAAGTATATCGCAATTTAAGTTACTCGTTTCCAACAGACTATCTTGAACTTATTTTTGATCGGCATAAAGTTTACTGGCAGAATGTCTGATCTATAAAATCTGACCGTGTGAAGCTTAGTTTCAATCTAATGTTTAGAGAAACAACAACCCAAAAAGTGGAAGAACTGTCAGCAAACATACGTCAGAAAGAGAAAGAGTTAGACGACAATGCGGAAACAATAGCGCGCCTAATGTCCGACGTGAAGGCGACGTGCGACGCGCGCGCTCGCTCGGAGCTGGCGATGCAACGACTCAAACATGATCACCAACTAGAAAGGGACGCCATGATCGAGTCCGAGAGGAAGCTACTCAAACAGGTCGAGCAGCTAGAATGCAGCGTCCGGGTGGGTTTTGTATTACGACTTTATATTACAACTAGCGTTTGCCAGGTGGCTGGAACATGCTAAAAGTCGGTGTTTTGTGACATAGTCGGGCACGTGATAGAAAATTGTTTTTCTTCGCTAAGAAGTAACAAAAGCTTATCTTTTTTCGAGTCATTTCCTTTTTTCTCGGGTCTCTGGATATTATCCAAAATGGTTGGGTCAATTCAATATGCCGACCGTCTGGCAACCCAAACGCCTACAACATAATCCTATGCATTATAATGTCAGTTAATTTCTTTCTATTTAAGTATGGTCTCGTTTATTTGCTTCCAAAAAGCACTTTTCAAATTACAATTCAAAACCTTACTATATTTGTAGTGTATTTTGATAATACTTAAATTTTTCGTTTCTGACCCGTGGAACACCAAAGTGGTTCACCTAGGTATTCCACAGTTAACTTTTTGTACCCCTGGTTCACCTAGGTGTTGTGCTCATCAAAATAATGTACCCGTAGTTCACCTATCTAATGAAACACAAGTCATCCTCAATAATTTAAAAACTTAATGTTAAAATTGATACAATTAAAGACGCCAGGGGTGAATATTCTATTGTGTCAAATGCTTGGTTTGCATTAAAAAAATCGCCTAATCTTATCGTTCCTAATCCACTTTTCATCACAAATTATCAGCTACTTCAAAAATTGTTCGGTTTTCATTCGCTGTAATAAAGAATTACAAATGAGTACTCGGTTCATGAGATTTTTTTCAGTAAGCTCGTGAGGTACCCAGTTATCCAACTTTTCTGTGTACCCAGCTTTTTTCAAATGACCCAAAACTGTTTTGTGGTCAAACCTCAGTTCTTCAGCTACGTCGTAAATATTGATATGCAGATCTTGTTCCACTTTTTAAAAAATGACCGGAACGACGTGCATAAAAATTTAACGTCAAAATTACCGGACTGAAAACGCTTAAACCGAATTTGTGCTGCTCTCGCAGAAACTGCACTGGGTCCATAAACGTCACAAATATTTTTCTCGGCTTGAGTTGCATTTTACCTTTTTTGTAATAAGATTTTAAAATATACCGAATTTCTTCATTACATTCACTCATTTTGACAGCAAGAAAAACAAATGAAAATCACACATTTTGCTAATCTGAATTCGGAGTTATCTTCTTTAAAATTCAAACTTTTTAATATACAGATATCTTAATCAGCCAGATACAAAGGATATAACATTTTATGCATAATATATGCGAAAAGATTTTTTCCTCAACCTAACATGTACTTAATTGATTAGTGAATAATTTTCCAGGGCAAAGATGACGAGCTGTCGAAGCAAATGTCGATCATACTGGAAATTCGTGTTGAAAAGGTATTAGCTTAAAAATGATAACAATGTTCACGCATTACAGCGTACAATTGGTAATACAAATTTATTTCGTGTTACTAGCTAAATTAAAGTGATATATAAATTTTTCAAAATTATAAACAAATTACAGAGATAAAATAGCTCTTCCACAATTTTCACATGAAATCATTTGAGCAACTTATTCCAAATATTTCTAAACTAAATCACCTGAAGTGGCCTCCTAGATGCCTCGATAACTAGTATGTAATATGTTCATAGGAGAGGCTTCAGAGCAAAATTGAGGGTATGCAGGGCACCATCGACAACATTCAGAAAGAGCTGACGGGACGCACCGCGCCTCCCGTGCCCCGCCCTCCCCCTGAACATGATGACAACGCACTCATGTGCCCACCCACCAAGGTAACATCATTATTAAACTGAAGATTACTTCATTAGTTGTAGAACATCAACAACCTCTCAGAACTAATAAATGGTAAAGCAAAAATCTATATGACTTTTGATAATTCGTTACATTTTGCTTTTATGCAAATTATTATACATGCATCTAATATCATAAATTATTAAATAGGGTACTTCACACAGTACGCTCAAGTAGGAGCGCATTATGGCGTCGTCCTTGCGTTAATAAAAAATAAGTTCAAAAACTAAAACCCTACTACAGCCAAATCACCCTATTGAAAATTTGAAAAAAGAAATTTATTTTGTAACGACAGATATATTATAATATTAATGACCAAAAGACAGCGTAGTCATATGACACATAGCTTATATCGCGCGGACAATTAAGACGCTTCTAATGATACCTCATTTGTCCAGTTATGATGAGTAATTTCCAAGTTATAATGGAACAAAGTGGTAAGTGTAAGTTTTAAGCTAACGTGTTCACGATTTGTAGTTCTTGGTAGTTACCGCTACGGGCGCTGTACGGGATATCATACTAAAATCTTAACACGCACACGAACGACGGCGAACGTAAACGTCAAAAACATTATTACATACATACCCGTCAAAATCATAACCATCCTCTTCGCTTCGCCGTAGTCGGGTATTAAATAAAACATATGTCATTGGACGTCACGATACTATAATCCATGTATAATGAAAAACATTATTGTACAGTCAATACCACGTCCGGTTGACAAATATATCTAGTTTCTCCACTTGATTTTAAACCTAAATACTTTGAAGGTAGAGTTAAAAATTAAATGAATAAATTTGACACTTTGTGGTCTCGCAATGTAATTCTTTTAGTGTTAAAATTTATGAAATTAACGTAAATCTGTCAGTGGGAGCACCTATCTAACATTGTCATAGATTTAGATATATTAATATTTGGGAAAAGAAATTTAAATATTAGTATATTATCATAACCGGCCCACACCGCACCGGTTTGGCCATAAAATTATATCAGGCAAGCAGAGTTGCTATCGCACTTATAGCATGGTTGAGCTTACGCATAAGCTAACGAAAATTGTGTTTAGATACCGCCTTCGTCTCCGAAGCTGCCCCTGCCAGGTGGGGAGTACGGCAGTGGCCGCGCCGAGACAAAGCAGCTCGACTCCATGCTGTACAACCTGTTCAGCGACGGCAGCATGGACGGCGACACCATCGACGTGAGACTGTTAACTTATACAGACTATTCAAGCACCTCATCGTTTAATGCAATATTGTACCTCATTAATTAGCTTCATCCTATAATATACCCGGTGGAACAGAACGACCGACACTCCCGAGGTTTCTGGAGAGTACTATTTGTCTTTAATATGATGTAAAAAAAATTATATGCTTAGATCAAATAGTTTCGGAGATATTAAATTTCAAAGTTTTTGGAAAAAAATTAGTGTTTTCAACCCTGAGTCAGCTGTTTTCGGGACGTACTAAGGAAAAGTTTTTAATCGGTCATTGACTTCTTCATTTCTAAAAACGAAATAAACTAGTTTGTGATTTATAAGACCGCTTCCATGCAAAGAATAACAGACAATGAATAAGCAAGACAGTCAAAATGCTTAAATCGATTTACAGACTAACAGCCGGTATCTGATGTGAAAAAAGTAGATAATCTCTAGTGCTTATTCTAAATAACCTAAGTTTTTTTAATTTCACAAATCAAATAGTACTAGTTTTATCAAACTGCTATCGATTGATCATCAAAAAACTAAAATCGGAAACGAAAACTAAGTGATGTTAGTTTGAGACGTTTAACTTTAAATTCTCAATTCAGAAACCGAGTGTAAAATTTTCTAAATTATTGTAGAGAGATCAGTCTAACATTAACCTACGTTATTTTTAAAGAGCAGTTCTCCAAAAGAAATTGTTTGAATGGGGTAATACTCCTTTAACAACGGGATCGTTAATTAAACTCGATAAACTCACATATCTTTCAGCGATTCATCAATCATCATTAACACAAATGTACTTTGTTTTAAAAACATTGAGGAATTTGTTATTAAAATAGTATTTAAGTAATTGCATTTGAAAAGAACATTATAAAATGCATAATATCAAAAGACGAATTAAAAAAAGGTGAACCGAGTTCGACCCTTGACAAAAGCCCCACCCGCCCAACCACCGCCGCCCCGCTTCATTGTTCTGTCGGGGGTTCCCGAAACTCAGTCGCATAAAATAAATTACAACTCCTAACGAAGCTCAGTCGCCGCCGACCCTTTGCGCTGGAGTGTTGTTGCGCATCGCCGCCGACGCACCGCTGCAAAGCGCCTTTTTTGTCGATTTTTGTTTTGTTCTAGTGCACTTTTAATTGAATTTTTGTTAATAAGAATACTACAGTGTTCGTCTTGAGTGTTAAGTGTAGTTTAGTAAAGATTGTGTTTAGTTTTGTGTGAAATGTGATGTTTTTTGCGCATGAATGCACCGGCATGCAAAAAACGTGCTTAGCTCAGTCTTCAGAGAGGAAATGGACATTTTCAGCATCGACTATCATCAAGATATCGGTAAATAATTAAATTAAATTAATGTATTTCGCGGTCCATTGTTATCTGCGCACAATCGATATTGCGCATGCGCGTTATAGGGCTCTAAATACATAGAAATAAAAAAATGTTTACTCTATTTTTACTCCTTCTTTATTTTGAAATATTTGGTCAAATAAAATGATGTTTGCATGTAACCTGACTTGAAACTTTCGGCTGTGTCGGTCATTTTGTGGCTCCCGGTATTATTTTTAGGGTTCTGTACCCAAAGGGTAAAACGGGAACTCTATTACTAAGACTTCGCTGTCTGTCTGTTATCAAGCTATATCTCATGAACCGTGAAAGTTTGACAGTTGAAATTTTCACATTTGATATATTTCTGATTTGTTTTTGAAGCAAATATATTTAAAAAAAAACAGAATAAAGTAAATATTTAAGGGGCTCCCATACAAAAAACGTGATTTTTTGACGCTTGAAATATTGTGGTATTTTTCATACAATTATTACGACACGTTACTTAGGTAGCATAGGTATTTTCTCATAACTCCTTATTGCAAATTTGAAGTAATTGATTAAAGGAAACGATGCGTAATTTTACTACCTATGAAAAGAACTGCATTAAAAAGTGAAAATCGCCAAAAATGTAGACAGATGATCTTGGTCCATAAGCGTCCAAATATCTCATGTGGACTCGAACTGATCGTTGTTGGAGAGAAGTGCTCTTCTAACTGAGCTTCCAGAAACAGAATGAAATATTTTTAACTATAAGATAGTATTTTGGAAACAATACCTAACGTTTACATTATTTTAGGCATCCGAAGTAAATCGTCGTTTCGATGCTCTGTCTCGTGGCGAGCAAATGTCACCATTGTCACTTGGTGCGCTGAAACGGCGACGAGCCGGCGTACCCATCTCACAAGGCGGTCTCAAGTATAAGCCCGTGACTGATGTTAGTATACGATATGCATTATTATTACCAAGCCGCCACTTCACCTGTATTAAAAACCTAATAACAAAACTTTATTCTAGTCGATGGAATTACTGTGTTTTCTCAATATGTTTTTCTATGAAAAGAACCATGAGTCTTCTATACCACTATACTCGTATGTCATATTGTAACCATATCAATACCTAGCTAACTTTTGTCGTATTATCGATTTTAACATTCTATCTACTATATCCGTGCCTTTAGGGCGAAACATTTTCGACTCAACGCCACCCAATCGAGGGTCTCTATTGTTATCTTGGAAAATATTTATCTGATAAACTTTTATTTTTTTACAGGATCCCGAAATATCCTTGTCGCAGGTGAAAAAGGATTTGAAAAATAAAGAAAAAACGTTTTTCAAAACCAAACGCTTGGATGTGAAATCAAAGAAACCCAAATAATTACTAGACTATCGAATATAAAGAAAGATTAGATTTGTTTTCCAATATTAATTAATTTTGTTTATTACATAAAACCATTAGGTATTAGGTACTTATTATCTTTCGTTATCAAATAAATTGCTGTAACACTGTGTATTTATTTATTTATTTTTCTAATGACCATTGATAATAATTGCAAAATAAAATTCCGTGGGTTTCGATATCTTTCTATAATGACAATCATAAAAACAAAATACAATAGAAAACATTAAAAATATAAAAACTATATAAAAAGGTTCCACTATCGTCATCGTCGGCAACAAATATTATAACAATATTAAGCACTTGGACGTCTTTTAGGCAGTGCCAAATTACGCCATCGCCCGTAGCAACCAAACCAGAATAACACAACACTACCAATCCGTGACTTGAGTTTTATTTTATGTTCATACTTAAAAATGATGACTAGTCAGAAGCATGGTTTATTTTATTTGAAAACTTAATTAATTGGTTCTGATCTCTGAAAGGGCTTCCAATTGCACGGGGCTCCCAAACACTCGGGGCTCGTTTGCTACTTTTATTATAGTAGTATTAAAAACTTTTTTTTGGAGTTTTCCTTTCCCTGGGACTCCTTGCCTTGACATGCCTTTCGATATAAAAAATATTGAATAACTTTATATTGCCTTTTTTCTGCCTCCAAATTTGTATTGGGAATTCTGAAATAATTAAGGTATAGCTGTAAGGTAGGTATCCGAAACACCTACTTTATTTACACAACTGGAAATTTCATTCCTTTGCTTGGTACTGATAGAAAATAAAAAAAAACTGTTATCAATCATAGTGACAGATCTGACGTTTGAGTTGTTGTCGCTTTTCGCTGTTTGTGCATTACTTTATTAGAAAAAAAACACTTGCATTTCTGTAACTTGATTTTGTTGATATTTGGAATTTCAATACCTTAGTTTAGTAATGACATCCACATAGGTGACATAAAATCATTTCAACATGGATCGTGGTAAAATGACTTCTGCTGGCCGCGGTGCCAAAAGCAAAGCACCTCAGCATCCGCAGGATATCTTTGCCCTCGGAAGTAAATCTACAGTGGTTGTTAATAGGGATTCTGAGAAAAGAAACATACACAAACCATCTACAAGTGGTAAGTCATTTGAACAAGTATTTGAGGTTAGTTTAATGTTATTGTTTTGCAAATGGTCCAATTTTATGTTTATGATCTAATATAACCATCTCATAATTATTCGGCCCTACTTTAGAGCCCATAATAGATATAAATAAATCAATTTAAACTCTAGGTGTTGAACGCAAAAGAGAAACATCTGGTTTTGGCAGTCAACCCCCAACTAAGAGATCAAGAATTGGATCACCTGCTGAGGCTGTTGGAGGAACTTCATTGGAAGTAGATCCAGTAGATCTTGTACCAAGTGTACTTCAAGCATTGGATACCCATAATTCTGACAAACTTGTAAGTGATCCTTCTTGTAGTGAAATGATTCAATTTAGTTATTAGGAATATCAATCTATAAAGTAATGTCTTATTTTAGCTTGGACTTCTGACTGGTTCAATACGCTTGCTAAAGTCACAGAGATCAAAACCAGATCCAATATTATGCATGAGCATGTTGTACCTTACAAAGATACGTCCAAACATGTTTGCTCACGAGACAGTGACACAGAGTTTATGCACATTACTGAAAAGAGAGCAGGGTGCAGCATTCAAGAACAAAAGCAATCTACTAGTGTTTGTGTTGGCCTGTAACATGTTGTATGCTGGACACAAGGACAGCAACAATTGGCCAGATACTTTTATAAAGGTAATTTTCATTTTTGTAATAAACTAAAAGATTGAAATAATATGTATATTACAAATATTGCAGTTGCAGACATGAAGTATTTATATTTCAAATATAAATGTAACTTGTTGTAGGTTTATATAGAAGATGCTTTGAATGAGCGCTGTTGGGTTGAGTGCTCTTGGTGTAAATGTCTTGTAGAGAATATTATCACCGCTTTCAATACTAAACAACCACCCTCTTATCTTATTCCTTCTGAGAACACTCTTGGTAAGTCATCTTTAGAGTTTGTTTTTCCCCCATTTATAATTACAATGTTTATGTTTTTGTTTGTCTACATAATATAACTATATAGTGATTTCTGGTTCTTTGCAAGCTCTGTGATTTATACTATGATTTTAGTTTCATTTTACAGTTGGAGTAATGCTGTGTTGTTTGTTTGTAGGCACTATGTCTCCCTCGGGTTCTGGTTCACCTCTCATGGGAAGCAATGATGATGAAACTGCTGTTGATACTGAGCTGGAATATACTGTATTCCCTAGGTGATTTGCAAAGTTATACAATAATATGAATATGAATAAATCAATAAAAAGATTATACATTATGTTACTACATTTTCCTGACACAACATATGTTTTTAAGGTATTCTAGTAGTTATGAAACGGTGGAGGCGTTGGTCCTGGAGGCTATCAAAGAGCAGATTCAACGGCGCGCCGCACCAGATGCCATTCATCGCGGTTTCCTTAAGTTGCTAGCTGCTACTTGTGGTTTTCCTGAGGTAACATATGCATATGACAATATATCTGAAAACAAAACAACTCTTAAATATTGCATTTGTATTTAGTTTTATTGACGTTTTGGATCCTTTACAGGTTCCATGTTCACATAAGACTTTAATTAATAAGTATTACTTCTAAACTTTGAACATTTTTAAGATCTTTATTGCTTATTTATTTAAAAGTTAAATGGTGCTTTAAATATTCTCCATAATTATTCATTGAACCTTTGGGCTAATATAGTTGTCCAAACTGGAATATAATCAATATCTTGCTAAACAAAGTTTGCTTTTGAACTTGGTGACTATGTATTGTTTCCCTAAAAACTACCTATTTAGCGGGTAGGCAGGTATGCGATCTATTGCGATGATTGATGACACCTTATAAATTCAAACTATCAACAAATTGACCCTACCTATAACAGTTTCGGGTTTCTACTGTTAAATAAAAGTTTAATTGTAGTTTATTTTTGTTTTAAATTGTCAATCGATAAAAAATTAAACACCTACAAAAAGTGTTTCAAATAAAATAATAATAAACATGTAGACAATTATTTTGCTCTAAGATAGGGATAGCGATATTTTATTTTTTTTTGTTTATCTATAAGGTAGATTTTTGAAAAATATCAAACTCGTATTTTTTTTAATTTTTGCGTAATTATAAAATTACCGCGATCCTTTGAGTAAAAATGTCACATGACGTCACGCTTTTGTACATTTTTACAAAACCGACTTAGCGACCCCCACTCAACTTTAATGTCTATTATCTAAGCTATTTCTTGTTAAATTGAAGTTAAAAATAAATGTATTTAATATTTTTCTATTTTGTAACTGATAAATACACTTCATTTCATTCTTCCAAGCATAGGATTTTTTCCCTTTAAGAAATTTGGACTTTTTACAAACGTGAAATATTTAATTATTTATGTAACGCCATCTATTATAGTTTTTAAGAACAAATATTTTTTTCTTAGACTAGGTAGCGCCCCCAATACGTCTCCAATTGAAACATGTTAAATTGTACAATATGTGATAACAGCTGCCAGAGTCGCTGTCATGTCGTCCTAACGAGATGGGCTAGATCTGGACATGTGTCTTCCTAATAAAATGATATTTTCATTATCTCACGAAATAGTTACAGATCGTATGGCAATTTCAATTGAAACAAAAGCGAACGAGTAACGAGAATAACGTGTAACGTGTGTGTCAGATCCGTATGATATCAGCGTCGCGGCTGGAGGCGTGGCTGCACTCGGGCAAGCTGTCGCGTTGCGCGCAGGAGCTGCTCGCGTACGTGTGCTGTAACGCGGACGCGTGCGGGCCCACCGCGGCGCGCGACCACGAGGTGCTGGCGCAGCTCGCGCGCATGCGGCTCAAGACCAAGCCGATGCAGCAGGCCTACCAGGCTTGTCTCAGGTATATTTGCTGCAGTCAGCCGGTCAGGCGTGTACATGACATGGGTTCGCGGTTTTCGGTTGATTCTGGTTGCATTTTTAATTATTAACATACGTATACAATCTGCTCTTCTTGTGAATTTGTCCACAGGGAAGGTCTGTCCTCCAATATAAGATGAAGGATTATTTGAATAAAAGTAGTTTTGGATGATGTTTGGCCAAAAACAAGAAATTCTATTTTATTCTGTCAGTCGTTTTAGAAACCCTTTTTTTTTGTTAAATTGAATAACAAATAAATTACTTAGATAATAGATTTAAGGACGTCATCAGATGTTGAAATATTGCGTCTAAATTCAAATCGGTTCAGTGACATAACTCTGTTAAACTGTAGGCAATCGATAAATCTATTTGTTTATGATTCGCCGGAGGACTTTCGATAGAGAGAAATAAAGTAAGATCACACCATTATAGATTCAATTTTTTTTACTTAAAGACATCAGTTTTAATGTGCTCCAACTCCCGACATCTCGCTCGATATAAAGAGGAGGAGGGGACGGGGAAAGGAACACGCAAAGTGACCGGGCGGATATCCGTACAGAGTGATGGCGGCGGACAGTCCCGCGCTGCTGCGCAGCGTGATCACGCACACGATATACAACGAGCTGTCGAACGTGCGGTCGCCGAACAACATGTCGGTGCTGGCGGCGCTGCTGGCGGCGCAGCCCGCGCTGGCGCCGGTGGCGATGGCGGAGACGTTCCACGAGCTGGTGCTGCGCGCGGAGGACTACCTGCGGCCGCTGCGGGCGCTCACGCGCGAGTGCGTGCGCGCCGCCCCCGCGCGCGCCGACGCGCAGGCGCTGCTGCCGCTGGCGCGCGCGCTCGCCGCGCCGCCGCCGCACGAGCCCGCCGCGGAGGTAAACTATTTCATGACCTATTCGAAAACCACTGTGACGGATTCGATGCTTAGGCAAATTAATAAAAGGCTGACTGAGCTTGATAATTTGATTTACTTGAAGGTACTAAGAAAAACCCATTTCTGGGTTTTTCATAATAGATAAAGCTCGGTAGATATTTCACGAAGATATACTTTTAGATTAACATTTATCTTATTTGAATTGTAATAACTTTATTATTATTAGATTTACGTTATTAAATTATCATGATCACGCCAGAAAAATTTTTACGAACTGACATTTTGGATTAGTCAAAGAGCATATTTGATTAGTCAAAATTACAAATTGCGCAAGGTGAATAATAAAAAGAAACGATGTTGAAGATCGAAGAAAAAAAGTTAGCATGCGGATACCTAGGACGAAATACGAAGTCTGTGGACTTGTTCGATCGTTGAATGTGCCTTTCTGAAGCCAAACTGATGACCTGGAGTGACACTACATTCATTCGTGGCCTTTAGAAGTCGCGAAAGGAACGTTCTTTCCCATAGTTTTGAGAGCACAGGAGTTAAACTTATAGGCCTATATGACGACGCTTCATCTTCAGGCTTTCCTACTTTGTGTATCATCACCACTCATGATACCTTCCAGAGTGTTAGAAAGTGGGATGTTCTTAAGATGGCATTAAATAAACAAGTAAAGAGAGTGACAGCTTTTTTGGGTAAATGTTTAAGTATCATTGACATTATAAGATCAAAAGCTGGAGCTTTTTTAGCGTCAAGGTTTCTTATTTCTCGTGCTACCTCATGCGGATACTTAGGATGAAATAAACGGTGGTACGGCATACCGTTACACCACTCGCTTATGTGAATGTGTACTTGTCGGTTTTTTTTCATTTTTTCCCCGACGGTTGTGCGTGTTCGTTGACTTGAAAGCTGAATCGAAACGATAGAATTTTCACCGTCCGATATGTCTAATGCGAGCGGTGTGCAGGTGCGGGAGCGAGCGTTCTCTTCTCTGGCGGACCTGTTCTGCTGCTGCTGCCTGGTGACGGCCACGCACAGCAAGCACCTGCCCGACTACAAGCAGCAGCTGAGCGGCATCCAGTGCGCCGCCCTCGGCTGGCTGCTGGACACCGCGCCCGCCATATACAGGCCCTCCCGGCACGACTACCAGCACGCTCTCAACAAGGTAACGTACCCAGCAAGGTGATGCGCCCCCGACGAGGCAATCGATCAAACCTGTCACTGAAACGTGGACCTTGTTTGCTGTAACATTAGATAATGTTCGTGGAGAGCGCGGAGGTGTACAGCAAGCCGGACAACTGGCCGCCGGAGTGCGAGCGTGCGCTCGCGCACCGCATCTGCTGCGAGGCGCCGATGCCGAGACATAATCTACTCAGGATCATATTCATTGGATTGTCCAAGGTACGCAAACATTATCTGTATCATCATTTACGCGAACAATTATAGATTTGTATTTAGATGTAAATATTGGAGAGGGGAAAGACCGCAGAAATATGAATAATTATTTAGAAACAATAGATTCTCTCTGTTCTACTGGTTACGTAGTTACTTGTCTGAACGCTTTAAGGATTTCTTTTTTGCTTAGTATGATATTTTTTCTATTTATCCCCATTACTTTTCGCCATTTTACGCCACTTAAGTTCATTCCAGCACCTTTATATTCATGATTTACTAGTTTTACCCCAAGCTTGTCCTAACCATGAAATCTTTGCTCTTTACCGATGACCACTAAAATTGCACTCTCTTTCAACACTGAAATTCGCTGATGTCAGATGTCTAGAACTAACCGAGGGAGAACTGAATAAAACTTAAAAGATTTAAAAAATAATGTGTATTTGATTAACGCATGTATCTGATTTTCGCACTAAGCTCAATAATCGGAAAAATTAAAATTGCAGTTGTTGATACATTCCACAAAATTCTTTGGCAAGTAATTAGCAGTTTGAGTAAATTTAGGAGAAGAAATACTCCAGTGTAAGCTACGGTTGCCTGGAAGAAAGAGCTGTTTTTAATAAAACAATGGGTGTGCCAAGGAAATCCCCGTGGGCCCGGCGGAGGCGCTGGAGCTAGTGGAGCAGCTGGTGCGGCGCGCGTGCGTGCTGCCGCCCGAGGAGCAGCCGCTGCTGGTGGACCGCCTGGACCTGGCCGACCACATCTTCCATCTGTGCCAGTTCCACCCGCCCGACAACATCACGCTGCCCGCCGGGTAACGTCCTGCCCTACTAATGTATATTTCAATCTTGAAATCATTTTGCTTTGAAAGAACCCATGGAGAAAACGCGAGCCCTTCAAAGTCAAAGTCAAAATAATCTTTATTCAAATAAACTTCTTAAAAGTACTTTTGAATCGTCCAACATTTTTTTCCCTACCACTCGTTCAGGATGTCTTTTGGCTGATAAGAAGAACGAGCAAGAAACTCACCAGCTCTAATATGAGTAATGACATTTACAAAACCATGTCATTACCAGATCAATACATTATAAACAGAGATAAAAAAAAAAAGCTATGGTCTTATAATAATAACATAATCATTTAATAATAATGGGAACAAGATAATGAGTTTAGAAGTAATCACCTATCCAGTTGCTGGATCATCTCAAGTCCAAGCGTTCTTATCTGTTATATAATCGGATATCTTATAATAAGCTTTTTTAGTAAGTATTTTTTTAATAGTAGATTTAAACTGCATGATATCTAATTGTTGTATTTTGCTTGGGACCTTATTGTAGAAGCGCACACAAAGACCCTTGAAACAGTTATTAACTTTTTGCAGTCTAGTGACAGGCACCGTTAATTTATTTTTATTTCTTGTATTAAAATTGTGTACATCACTTTTTATAGAAAACAAACTAATATTTTTACGAACGTACATTAAGTTCTCGTATATGTATTGAGAAGCAACAGTCATAATGTCTATTTCCTTAAATTTCTCCCTTAAAGAGTCCCTAATCCTAAGATTATAAATTGATCGAATTGCTCTTTTCTGAAGCACAAAAATTGTTTGTATGTCGGCAGCATTTCCCCACAATAGGATACCGTACGACATAACACTATGAAAGTAACTGAAGTATACTAATCTGGCAGTATCTATGTCAGTTAACCTACGTATCTTCATTACGGCATATGCTGCAGAGCTAAGTCTACTCGACAATCTATCAATATGTGGGCCCCACTGTAGTTTAGAATCTAATGTTATTCCTAAAAATACTGTGGTATCCACAAGGCCCATGTTCTTATCTTTTACATTAACATTTATATCTACTTTTTTAACATTAGGTAGTACAAATTTTAAGCATTTTGTTTTTCCTTCATTAAGGAGAAGATTATTTACATTAAACCAATGTACTACTTTAGCGATAGAATTGTTCACATCGTCATTTAGAGGTAACCCTCTTTTAATTTTAAACAAGAGTGAAGTGTCATCCGCAAACAAAACTATTTCGTGATCATCCCTTACGAAATAAGGCAAGTCATTTATGTAAATCAAAAACAAGAAAGGACCAAGTATTGAGCCCTGCGGAACGCCCATCTTAATTTTCGATCCAGGGGATCTTTTGCCATTGATATCAACCCTCTGTACTCTGTCAGTCAAGTATGAGACAATAAAATCCAATGAGTTATCTCTAAATCCATAAAAATGCAGTTTCCTAATCAATGTTTCATGAAAAACACAATCAAATGCCTTAGATAGGTCACAGAAAACACCTAACGCATCATGTGAATCCTCCCAGGCATTAAAAATTTCTTGTATTAACTCGACACCGTCTTCGGTTGTCGAGCGACCCCTTGTAAAACCAAATTGTTGTCGATTCATAAGCTTATTCTTGTAAAAGTACGTTTGTATTTGATCCAGCATGATTTTTTCAAAAATCTTACTAAACGTAGGTAGCACGGATATAGGTCTAAAGTTAGTAGGGTCAGATGTGCTACCCGATTTATGTAAAGGAATAATATGAGTTGACTTCATGAGTTTCGTGCCAGTTCTTCGCAGTCCAGCGCCGTCTCCGTAGATTTCCGATACGGTGTTACAGTTACAGGTGCTTGTAACAGCTTGGACTGATTAAATACACTATGCAGGTACACTCCCCCCGAGCTGGCCATCACGGGCCTGTACTGGCGCGGGTGGGCGCTGCTGCTGATGGTGGCCGCCCACAACCCCACCACGTTCGCCGCGCGCGCCGCCGCCACCTATCCCACGCTGCGGGCACTCATCGAGATGTGCATCACCAAGTCTGTATCATTCACACCCATCACATCATTATCGCATACACGCTAATATGATAGAAAAAAAAGTTTGCCTATATTTTGTGGCATTTCTAATATGTAAAATAATAAAATCGGAATACAAATAATTAAGTTCCACAAGGATGTCACCTAGGTCCATACTTTTTTCATCTTGAATGAACATTTATATATATTTGGTACTTATTTAAAAATAACAGTAAGCCGAGCATAGAGTGGAGCGCCAACGGCAACAGCGAGGCGGAGCGCGCGGAGGCGGAGCGCGCCAGCATCCTGCAGCTGGAGGCGCACCTGGCGGCCGCCAGCAACGCCAAGCTGCCAGTCACCGAGCACACCTCGCGGCTGCTCAGCCAGGTGCTCTGGCAGCTCTGGCTTAACTCTGCTGCATTTCACTTCTATTTTAATTCTGTGCAGAAAGCTTTATTTAAAAAATAATATTTCATTAATTCGTCTTCGAAATCATGTCTGTTTTACCGACTTAATATAATTAATAATCATTTTAAATTAATAGGAAAGCTCAATTTTCCATTTTAATTATTAAAGTTGAGGAGAATATTCGTTTGGTATTCGGCATCTTTTTCGTTTTGGTGCTGAATATATTCGGTTTGAGTAATTATATTTTCTTTGCTACACGGCACGGTATATTTTTAAAAATCAAAACTTCTTATGTAAGATTCATGTTACATTAAAAATCAAAGAAAAAAAAATTTGTTCAATAAAGCTAATAAATATTCGGTTCTGTAAAAGTTAACCCAAATAATATTCGGTTATTCGGTGAAACCACAATTAGGCGCATCTCTAATAATTATCCTTCGAAATTCTCAAAAGCATTAAATAATCTAATCCGAGACGTTTTTCACAGCTGACGACGCTAGATCCTCTAGGTCCAGCTCGGAAGCCACCGCAGAGTGTCATCGAGTCCATTCAAGCTCTAAACACCCAGCTACGTTTGGGCCGCCTCTTATGTAGACAACCTGCGCTCCTCCTAGATCTGGTAAGATTCAACGATGGTATACTTCATTAAAGCATTATATCCGTGTTCCAGTATAATGTTAATCGTGGGTAGTATACATTGGTGTATATCGTTATATGTTGTCGTGCCGCAGGTGGAGCGGCAGGGCACGCGGCGCGCGATGCCGTGGCTGCACCAGCTGCTGCGGCACGACCAGCTCGAGCTGAGCGTGCTGCCCGTGCAGTGTCTGTGCGAGTTCCTCGCTGCGGGACCAGGTACATATCCACTACCTGCTACACGATACACTCTTCTCTACTTGTCTTATTATGTAATTAATGAGCTGATAATAATAATAAATTACTGTTCGGGTTTGAACATAAATATCAATGATTGTTCGTACTGAAACATACGTTTATTGTATAACTAAAACTGATAATGATAAATGATCTGATCTGATCGGATGCACTCATTAGGAGTGCATCCGATTCCTACGGCGAATGATTTTACACTGAAAATTATTTGAATTGTGTTTCTGTGATGCGTTGTGTGACGTCACACACGGTGTTCGGTATCAATGCAATGCACCGCAGGGCTCGGAAACGTTATTCAAAATAACGTTTTTAAAACGTTTCTTATGGTTCTTTGGGTAAGATTGCGTTCGAAACGAAAACGAAATGAGAACGCTTTAAAAAACCGGTTTAATCCGCAAGACGGTGCCGCGCGGGCTGTAAGGGCGGCGAACATTTATTTTATTACGTTATTTACAGTATGCGATGCAAAAAAACGCAAAATAAATGGTTAAAAACGTTTTATTAACCGAAAACAATATAATTCTGTTTTTTTCCAAAATCGTTTTTTATATCGTTCTGTTCGAACGAAACCGAAACAAAGTGTTTTTTAGGTATTTAAGATGAAAACATTTCGAAAAATATACCGGTTTCCGACCCCTGATGCACCGAGCCAGGGCTTGAAACCGGTTCAAAATAAACCGTTTTTATTTAGGTAAAACCTGTTCTCTTATAATGTTCCGTTCCGGATCGGAACTAAATGCGGAGTGAAACTCGAATGGAATACAAACCGGTTAATTCGCTTGGTTCGTAAAAAATAATGTTCTTACGCTTTTAATGCGAATTATATAATTTTTAAGCGACGACATTTATAATACCTGTGTACGAATGTAATAGATAGTAGTATGGGCACTTAAAAACCGCGCTGAAGTTTGTGAGATCATTGTCTGGAGTCATATTTAAACCGGTTAGTGAAGAAAACCTTATTTCTACGTTTTTAAACCGGTTGGTTTAAAAACCTGTTCAAAGGAGCTAAACGCTTTATGTAGAGTTCCGTATGTACTTATGTCGAACCGGTTCAATAAAGTAGGTATTTTTATTCTCTTTATAATATTTATTTATTTAATCTTTATTGCCATATTACTTAATTTGGAGTAATATTAAAATTGCAATTTTAGCGTAAATTTAGACTGAAGCTAAACCTTGAATACAGGCGGGAGCGGCGGCGGCGGCGGTGACGGCGGCAAGGCGGGCGAGCTGTGCCAGCACCTGCGGCGCACGGTGGCCGCATGCGAGGCGGGCGCGCGTGCTGTGCTGCACTACTACCTGCAGCGCCTGGCGCACCCGCACGCGCCCACGCGCGCGCAGGCGCAGCGGGTATGTATTGGCCTGTTGCCGCTGACGGTGCTCTACTGCAATAGAACCTAACAATTGTCCATAGTCCATCGCATGTGCTGCACTACTACCTGCAGCGCCTGGCGCACCCGCACGCGCCCACGCGCGCGCAGGCGCAGCGGGTATGTATTGGCCTGTTGCCGCTGACGGTGCTCTACTGCAATAGAACCTAACAATTGTCCATAGTCCATCGCATGTGCTGCACTACTACCTGCAGCGCCTGGCGCACCCGCACGCGCCCACGCGCGCGCAGGCGCAGCGGGTATGTATTGGCCTGTTGCCGCTGACGGTGCTCTACTGCAATAGAACCTAACAATTGTCCATAGTCCATCGCATGTGCTGCACTACTACCTGCAGCGCCTGGCGCACCCGCACGCGCCCACGCGCGCGCAGGCGCAGCGGGTATGTATTGGCCTGTTGCCGCTGACGGTGCTCTACTGCAATAGAACCTAACAATTGTCCATAGTCCATCGCATGTGCTGCACTACTACCTGCAGCGCCTGGCGCACCCGCACGCGCCCACGCGCGCGCAGGCGCAGCGGGTATGTATTGGCCTGTTGCCGCTGACGGTGCTCTACTGCAATAGAACCTAACAATTGTCCATAGTCCATCGCATGTGCTGCACTACTACCTGCAGCGCCTGGCGCACCCGCACGCGCCCACGCGCGCGCAGGCGCAGCGGGTATGTATTGGCCTGTTGCCGCTGACGGTGCTCTACTGCAATATAACCTACCGATTGTCCATAGTCCATCGCATGTGCTGCACTACTACCTGCAGCGCCTGGCGCACCCGCACGCGCCCACGCGCGCGCAGGCGCAGCGGGTATGTATTGGCCTGTTGCCACTGACGGTGCTCTACTGCAATATAACCTAACAATGGTCCATAGTCCATCGCATGTGCTGCACTACTACCTGCAGCGCCTGGCGCACCCGCACGCGCCCACGCGCGCGCAGGCGCAGCGGGTATGTATTGGCCTGTTGCCGCTGACGGTGCTCTACTGCAATATAACCTACCGATTGTCCATAGTCCATCGCATGTCGATTTATGATGCCTCATTCTCCTTATTTCATTCCACGGGGAAGGCCAACGGTCCCACTTAATAATTCGTAACACACTTTTTGCATTATCTTATTAACACTACCTACTAATTGAACTTAATTTACTTGATGAGATTAGCACTCGTTCAAGCAAACATTGAATGTATTTGCAAAAGCACAAAATCCTATGTAATAGCATAAGTTTTTTGTGCTTCTGCAAATACATTTAATGTATGTAATATATATGTACAGGGTCTAAAGTTGGTGTTAAGTCAAACCGAAGATACATCTGAAATGGACTACAACGCTGACGTCAATCCCGAGTGAGTACAATCATATTTCGTTATATATGTAAAATTCTTATGTTCACAATATTTTTTATATGAAAACTGCGTCAAAATTGTCAAACGCGAGATAATAGCGGACAATACATACAACATGTGTTAAAATGCAAACCTTCAGTTTTTTGTCGGTTAATATATCTAAATCTTTTCCCTGAGTTTGACAAATACTATGCTGAAAACTGCATCAAAATCGGTTCAGCCAAATTCGAGGTAATCGCGCACAAGCAAACATACATATATGTCAAACTGAGAACCTCCTTTTTTGAAGTCGGTTAAATAGCGAAATTGTAGTAGAAGCGCTATCAGCTCTGCTTCAAACAAGTTTTGATTTGATTTATACGGACGGATCTCGGTAAACGATCGTAGTATTTCATCAGTTCACGCCCTTATTAATTATTTGACTTGAGATCATATTATCGTCCTCAAATCTCGGGGAAGTAAAGATTCAGTAAAAATTTATCTGGAAGATTAGATATTAATAATGATAGTCTGCCAAATTAGGTTGCCCCGTATGCCAGGAATCAGTGCTGGTACATTCTCTAAGTATTACATTTGACTTATGCAGAATAAGAAATTAAATACAAAAAGAACAAGAGAAAAAAGAAAGTAATAAGGCTTTTAACATTTTCAAATTATCCTATAAGCTTAACCATGCAAGAACTAGATGTGAGTGCGAGTGTGTGTATGTGCACGCGCGATGGACAAAAACAATGACCGATGAATTCATTCATTCCTATTTTATGAAGAAGAAAAATTAATTTTTAAGCGGGAAAAAATACATCGAGAAACCATTAGATGTTTGTTCGTGACGTCACTCCGCTGTATTTGTGGTCGTTTAAACCCACCGATCCGCGTGGTGGGTTCCCACAGGGAAGACCTGAGCCCCAGCAGAGGTTTGAGGTGTGACGTCACTCCGAGTTAGTAAACAAGCATTGTCGCTACACTCGTAGCCCGGTACGGTAACGCTCGGTGTTGTTGTGTGCGCGCCAGGGAGTGGCTGGAGCTGTTGTGGGGGCTGCAGCACTGGGCGGCCGTGCGCGGGGAGGTGGCGGCGCGCGTGCGGGCCGCGTGCCTGGTGGAGTGCGTGCCCGCGCACGTGGCCGCCTACGTCGCCTTCCTGGCGCGCCACGCGGCCGCCGAGCCCGCGCCCTCCGCAAGGGAACTCACGCCGCTAGTGCTGGTACGTAACACAGATAATGTCACATGCGTCGTTCAGGTACCGAAACGACTATAGAATTCAGCGATCAGTTTAGAAATCGTAACTAATTCATCTTTTTAATATCTTTATGTTTAGGTTGGATCCTTCATCATCACTTATATACCTCAGCCGCTTTTTGTTTAATCCTATTTTATAATTGTAAACTATATTAGTTTCAGTACAATGAAGCGTTTATTATGATTATTGTAATTTATAAACAAATAAAGTAAAAACCAATAACACAACACAAAAAAATCTTAACACCTTTTACATTTTATGATGCCTAGGTTAATAGGTCGACGTTCATTAGACAAGAAGAAATAACGTACAAAACTAAACTTACTTAAAAAGAAAATAATTATATGCTTTAACCGTTCGTCATATCAAATCAATATATATAAAGCTATAATTATATTATTGCTTCTTAGATTGACAAAATAACTAATTAATTTGGACAAAGAAAATTAAATGTTATTCTATCAATTTCATTTGGTGAAATATGTTTCAATGCAAAATAACTCACAAGTATTTTATACATAAAAACTACAAAAACATGATTTTTACTTGTTTATTTTAACATGAAAACTTTTCAATTACCTTGAAAAACAAAACCGAGAAACCGGTTCTTTTCGGTTTCCAAATAGACCGGTTAACCGATTAATTCAATTAACCGAAATAGAGTCATCATTATTTTGGTTAGTATATCATATAATGATTTAAAGACTGCAATTATCAATTATAAAATGAATAGGCGCGGTATGTAGTTATGGGCGGGTGGTTGTGGTGCAGGACCTGTCGCAACTGGTGATGGAGCGCACGTGCGTGATGAGCGCGATCCTGCCGCCGGCGGAGGCGCGCGACCCGCCGCCGCCGCACGACGCGCGCGCGCACGCCACGCTCTACCACCTCACCTGCATACTGCACAACCACATCAACCAGGTGAGCGCCACTGCACGCGCGGACTCAAAACCCGGACTTTTCGTTTTACGAAATTATACGATACTGAACGGCGAGATGAGATTTTTTGTCACAATCAAATATAGATGTGTTACGGCGGTTGTCGAATATGTTTACATCGATTACATAGTTACTTATTTCTTTTAGCCTATTTTACATTATCATTTTAATTAGAAATAATATTAATATATTTAGAAATAAAATAAATAATATTATTTTATACATAATATTACAAATAATATTCATATTATGTTTTTAATATTATTATTTTTAGAAATAAAATAAATAATATTATTTTAATAATGAGGAAGTATTAAAAAAAATCGGTATTCGTTATTCAAGCATAAATTATACAAAATTGGCTGGATGCTTAGCTGTGCGAGCGCATTGTGAGAATGTTTGTATTTCGCTCGCTCATTGTATTCAATGTGCGGATTATTATCCGCACATGCTATCTCGTTTCTATTCATTCATCCATGCCACATATGTTCGTGCAATAAGAGCAAAAATGACAAGAACTATGGTCTCTTTCGTGCAGATTCGGAATCGAAACTGCAAATGTCTTCAAGGTCAACCCGGTATATATCTGACTTGCAGCCGAGTGTATAATCAACTTAAAATGTCAAAACATCAAAAATCTTATTTTTTGTACTAATCCATTACCATTTAATGTAATAGTATTAGAAATGACGAATCGCCCAAAATTTTTTCTGTACATTTTGTTCTGACAAATGTAAAATAAACTCGAAATATTTTTTACTGACCAACGAATAATATGGTGATCAAATTGAATTGGGCTTGAAGAATCTTTTGATCGTTAGCACAGAATGAAATTTCTCAATGTTTATTTGAATTATTTAAAATTCTAAGTGTTTAATTAATTATTTGAATGTTAGTGTAACACAGATCTGTAATATAGAATCATCTATCACATTAGATTCGGACTAATGATACGGAGGATGCGAATATGGAAACGGAAAGTGAGGAGGCGGGCGAGGAGGGGGAGGGCGGCGAACCGGCGTGGACCCAGGGGGAGAAGCTCGTGCTGCACTGGCCCAACGGGAAACGTGCCTCGCTACACGTCGTAGTGGCACACGCGCACCTCAAACTGTTGTGCTACGGACCCTCTATTTGTGAGTGACACTGAATATGTTTATAAATATGATTTGTTATAGTACCGTTAATATGTTTTCGGTTGATGTCTGTGTATAAGCTATGACAGCTCACTATCAGCAGCCATTTTTGTCATCAATATCCTGACCAAAAATTTCGATTCAGAATATCGTGACTAAAACGTTCGTTTTCTTCTATTAGTTTTGTTTATTTCGCGGAGAGAAGTTTTCGTCGAAAACATGTTACGCAAAGAATGAATTCATAAATTAGGCAATTGTTGTCGTGCAGACGACACGAACCAGGAGATGTACTCGTGGCTGCAGTCGGTGTGGGTGGGGGGCGGGGGCCCGGGCGTGGGCGCGGGGGCGGGGGAGCTGCTGCCGGACTGGCTGCGCCTGCATCTGGTGCGCAGCGCGCGCCCGCCGCTGCTGGAGGCCGGCCTGCGCGCGCTGCCCGCGCACAAGCTCGCGCTCTTCATACAGACCTTCGGCATGCCCGTCGCCTCCATGACGTCAGTATAGTATACCTACTTACCCCGCTCCGAAAACATTTCGAAGTAGCTACCCTAGTATAATAAGGATACAAATAAGAGCTCGTTCGCGGGCTGGCTAATGCTTTAAAAAACGGGCGAGCACATATTATGAAAAATGCTTCTTTCTCTTTCCGATCCGAGATCTCGATTCCTATAATCGACTCGAAGCTGGCAGGTGTGGGATTTCGAGCCTCGCACACTGAAAGACGGCGTCTCTCCTTCTGAGTTAAAATATACGTCATCTACGTACCTCTTCCAAATCTTCACTATACTAGAGACAGATTGTAGGGCCTTTTTTTCAAAATGCTCTATCCAAATTTTGGCAAGTACTAGAGCCCCTGGACTTCCCATTGCTACGGCATCAATTTGAAGGTAATATTGACCTCGGAAGAGAAAATATCTGTCCCACAGACAGTGGTCAAGGAGCTCAACATAGTTGAGCGGCATCTCGTTATCCGTAAGCCTGTCTTTCACTACGTCCAGGCAGGTCCCGATATAATAAGTATATAATAATGCAGCGCGATAGTTTAAAAGTGAATCTATCAGTAGCGTCATATATTTTTGGGTTTGAGATCTGTAGTGATCGTTGTGTGCAGCGCGCTGCTGACGGCGCTGGACGCGTGCCCGGCGGGCGCGGTGGTGCGCCTGGGCGTGGAGCGCGCCTACATGGCGCAGCTGCTGCGCGTGCAGCGCGCGAGGGGGGCGCGCGGGGGGCAGGCCTTCGCCGCCGCGCTGCAGCTGCAGCCCGCCGCGCTGCCGCCAGGTCATACACGATGTGCACGCGTTCACTCGCGTTCAAAAAAGTTACCACTTTGGGGTGGACCTTTGAGACGAGACGAAACTATATTTTTTAAGATATTCGAAACTAGCTAATTTAGATAAACTTAGATCGATCCTATGTTTCCCGTAAATATCGTGTTGAAGATCATGTTTTGCCTGACGTGACCATTTTCTAATCTGTTCTATTTTTATTCTATTTTCTATTCTATTTTCTAATCTGTATATGCAGTTTAGAAAACATTAGAGAGTGGAGACGTTTTGATGTTCCTGCGACAGTTAAGGTACCTGTCCTTCCTGTCCGTTTCCATACATATTGCGTCCTCGTCAATATTGCGTGTTGTGCTGTCGATTGTCCCGTACTCCTATCAAAGATTTTTGGTTGTTTTTAGTGTTACAAATTATATTATAATAAGCAGTGTAGTCTATATCAATATTAAACAGTGTAGTAATCGCTTTCTACAATTCTTATTTTTATAAGTAATCTATCTGTGACGATCTTTGAGTGGCTTTTTTCAGCTAAGATTTTCATTTTGTAATTTTAACTGTCGGTCATCCCTCTAAGTACATAAATAAATATATATATATAATGCACCACACAGACGACATGATGTTCGCGGAGGAGGAGCTGCCGTGCGAGGGCGCGGACCCGTGGTCCCGCTTGGGGGCGGGCCCAGCGGCCCCCGCGCCCCCCGCGCCCGCGCGCGTGCCCGCCCTGCTGGCCGCCGCGCTGGCGCCGGGGGGCGACGACGCCGCGCTCACGCAGCTGATCGCCGTCAGTATATCATTATTTTATCCGTGTTATCTCAGACGCAGCACTTTGGTTTGCGATGCAGGTGGTTGGGCTGATTTGTATATATTCATAATAGAGCCCCGTTTCCCCTGCTGTATTTGTAAAATATTTGTGCCCGCCCGCAATAGCGTATCCTACTCTTGAAAGTTCTATTATTGACGTCATCAGGTGGATCATGTGGATCCACAAACCCGAAAAGAAATCGTTTTAAACCTAACATTCAATTTTATGGCTCAAAACCGAAATATATTTTTCTAAATAATTCTATCTAAATAATTTTTTGACAATTTCGTAACTGATTTTCCACTACCAAAATCATCACTATCACTACATATGTAGTATAAAACAAAATCGCTTTCTCTGTCCCTATATCCTTAAATTTTTCAAACTACGCAACGGATTTTGATGCGGCTTTTTTTCATCCGTTTCAAGCTTCAGACTTCAAAAAACCCGAGGATCATTTCTGGGTAAATGCATTGTTATGTTCAATAAAGTTCCACAAAATGTAATTGACCTACCCATAAATAAATTTTAAATTCATGTAAAGAATATACTTATGAGTATAGGCTATTATAAAGTTGATGATTATTTTAAGGATCGCAATGCATGGAATTAATAGCCTTCGCTTTGTTCTATAACGATTAATTATAGGTGTGTACCAACCTATGTCCTACAGACTTTGAAATTTGTATTTATTATTGTTCAATATATGTATTATTTTGGTAATGACATGATTTATGTAAATGTTTATTACATATGATAAAAAGCTGGTAAGTTTCTTTCGCTTGTTTTTCTTGTCAGCTAAAAGACGTCCTGAACAAGTGGACGTGGTAGGGGAAAAAATATTTTTGGACGACTCAAAAGTGCTTGTAACAAGCTTACTTGAATAAAACAATCTCATTTCATTTCGTTTAATACAAGACCACGTGGGCGAAGCCGCTGGCGGAAAGCTAGTAAATAATAATGTTATCAGGAAACGAAGGTAGAATATTGAAATGTCGTGATTGGTACCCCGTAGGCGGTGACGTCGGAGGCGAAGCGGTACCGGGCGTCGGGCGGCGCGGCGGGCCCCTTCCCGTACCTGGAGGCGGTGTGCGGCCACCTGGCGCGGGCCCCCGCCGCGCTGCCCGCCGCCGGGGCCCGGGGGGTCGCGCTGCTAAGGGCGCTCATACCCGCCAACAGCGATCGCATAGCAGAGGTCACATTATTGATTACTCACTTTTACACATATGGTGGTATTACACGATTATCATACTTGTCTCTCTAAAGTTAAGCATTGACGACAAACAATGTAGCACTTTAAAGCTGATATGGACGTGATTATTAGTTTAATAGTTATCATATGTCTCGAGGCTCTGCTCTGCTCTGACTTTTATGGAGTAAGAAGTATTCAAGTAGCTAAATCCCTTATGTAAATAAATCTTATACGAACAAGGTAAGACCACACCTTGATCCGATCGTAACAACAGAAAAGTTAGTTTTTGGCCCGACTGGAAATTGAAATTGCCACTTTAAAGTTGTGAATGATGCGCTGCGTGCGATGTAGTCTCTTAAAAAGCGGTGAGATAAAAGAATTCCCGCTCATTTGTTACATCATCAACGGATTGACTTCAGATTTATCTACTGTTTTCCCGGATACATTATCTAACAACGAATATTTTTATAAGAGTGATTAATAATAATTATTAATATCAACAATGTCTGTTTTGTATCATAATATAGAGAAAAAAAAACTGTATATATAATATTTTTTTATTATGATTTGATTTATTCAATAAAAAATGTTGCTCCCGATTGCAATTTTTTTCCCGACATGACGACAGTAAATGACATTTTTATATCTTTTTCTCGTAAAAGTATATTTTTCTCCGTTACCAAACTAAAGTTAATCCCAAAAATAGCGACACACGGCGCCTTCACGTGTTGCGTGATATACAAGCGCATGTATATGTAAAAGAACACGATGTGTGTACAGATGGCGGAGAGTTTACTGAGCAAGTTCAAGTGCGTGGGGGGTCCCCTGGCGGAGGTGCTGCGGGGCCTGGCGCGGGGCGCGGCCGCCGTGCAGGAGAGCCTGCCCGATGTGCCGCCACACGCCACCAGGGAGCAACTCATCACCGGTACAATTTTGTTTCCTTTGAGTGTTTAGCTTGTAGGATGTTATTTAATAACTTAGAAACAACATTACAACCTTGGCTTTATCCGTATTACTAACATTGTATCGATGCAGAGCCTTTATGCCGAAACCCGGGTAGTTATAATTTTGAAATTTAATATAAAAATATATGTCATATTCTTAATGAAAAATGCTTAAGTAATCCGCTTTTCATTAAGAATATTTTCCAGTACAACATTGTGAATGCAAAGATTGATCAAATACAATAATATAATGTAATAATCAAATAATGTAGCCCTCGAGTGCGCCACGCCGAGTACGCTAGAAGCCGTCGGCAATAAAATGATCGAGAGTTGCAGCACTGCGCTGGTGGTAGACGTGATATCTCAGGTGCTGGAGAACAACCAGGCGGGCCGGTACGAGACCAAGGTATGCGCTCACTGAACAATGTCACCTATCAACCACCTGAAGCTACATTATTTATGAAAATATTCCCTTTGCGCCCGCATCGATTATGCGAGTTTCGAACCCATATGTAATAGCCTTAAGGGTTCAGTTATCAAATTCCTTTCCTAGCGAATGATTACGTCACAATAACCCAGTTGTTGTTGTTTACTTATACGGCTGTGAGGTTATATAACTTAATATCTAAAGTAGGTAAATAATGTAGTAAGTAAATAATTGAGTCGCTCGCTGTCACAAATAAATGATATGCTACATTATATTTGACATGATTTGCTCATTTTTAAAAGAATTTAAGAAAGAATCATTAGAAATTTTATCATATTCTCATGAAATGCAGAAGCAGAAGGAAAGAAAGGAGGTATTTTTTTTATTCCCATTTAATTAATTATTTGGTGTGTAAATGTAGTTTAAAAACTTTTAATTCGTTTTGATTTTTCTCCGTGTTGAAAAGCTTACTTTGTTGACTATGTGTTTAAGTGATGAAATATGGAACTATAGATTTTTTATGTAACTGTTTGTTCCTTAAAAATAAAGAAAAAAAATATATTTACGGTGGAACCCCAATTAGTATAACCGTAACACCGCTCACATAATACTGTAGGTTGTATAAGAAATAAATTATGTTTATTTGATTTTTTTATTATGAATATATACTGACGGATGTGGTCTGGTTCAGGTGAAGAGTGAGGAGTCGGGGCTGCAGCAGGGGCACCTGTTCGCGCGCGGCGGGCTCGGCTGCGGTCTGCTGCTGGACTGGCTCTCCGAACTGCAACAGGAGACGCTGGGCGCGCAGCCCGACAGACAGGTGACACACGGCACTTTATAATAAGCTGAAAGGATTTTATATAAACAAAGGCAAATGAAGTTTATATGTGACTTTGAGATTATAATAATAATAAAGTAACAACGAGTGTGGACATATCGTCGAGTGGAAAATTGTAATATTAGCTTCAGAAAAAAATGCTATTTTTGTGTGAAATAATATACGTGCACTACAAATTTAACAGCATGTTTACTAAGATTCAGTAAAAAAAAAAGTAACTCATCAATCGCCTAGCTAATAACGGAATTTATAAAAGCAGAAAAAAACTGGTGTCACATACTGGCAACGATTGGTACTTATAAAAATAGAAACACACTTTATTTACGATTTAAGAAAATGTAACCACAATCAAAACTTCATTGATTACGTGAAGAACTATTCGAACGTATTCAAAAGGGTGTGTTCATCAGCAAAAAAAAATCTTATTAAAGAGAAAATAACATCAGTCATTTTTCAATCTTGACGACTCTGTATGAAATAAAACAGGGAGGAAAAAGCAGCCCTAGCTTGAGTTTCTTGGCGGTTTTTTTCAGTACAAAGTCACTCGTTCTAGACTTACAAATCGATGGCATAGGCTTTCGACTTTCACAAGTGCTTTGTAACAGCTTAGACAGAATAAAAGTTTTTGATTAGATTCGTAATAGAGTATGTCGAAGTCTTTTGACTTGTATAATTTATTTATAATCCTACCTGCTCGCTAAAAGAATGCATTCTGTTGACGCCAAACGCCAAATCACTAGAGTGTAGTGTCTAATTTCAATGGGGTATTGAAGTTAATTTGAATAAGATATTTATATGTGTGATATATTGGGTCGCATTTGCTTCTATATCTCCGACCGTAGGGGGTGATGTGACGTAGTGTCGTGTTGCGTTGTGCAGATGCGGCTGATGTTCCGTCGCGGGTGGGGCGCGTGGCGGCCGCAGCTGGCCACGCAGCTGGCGCACCGCGCCTCCTGGCGCACGCTGCACGCCTGCACCACCGCGCTGCTCGACCCCACCCAGTCAGTACCGCTCACCACGGAACACTCACACTCTGCACTATTCGTTTATGTGCTTTCCATTATTTCTTCGCTCCTAATTGTTGCAGCGTGATGTTATATAACCTAAAGCCTGTGTTCGGAGATGAGTATGCGTAGCGTAGGGGAGGATAAAGTAAAAATAATGTTTGTATTGAAGTCACTTTACTAAGTATCTATCAAAAGTTAATATTGTTTACTAAGTCTATTAAATGTTAATTTAAAATGTTAATGTTAATGATAAATGAGATAATTGTTAGAGAGAACATCCAACCGGTAACGGGGATCGAAATGTTCTACTGAAAAAACATATGTAACTACAGGCTGGCCGGCGGTGACCTACTTTTCGCCACGAGCCGCGCTTATTTACCTAAACTACGTAAAATGCATATGATGCAGTGTTCGGTCATTAACCGAACAGCCTGCCTCGATAAATGGTTTATTCAACATAAAAATAATTTTTCAATTCGAACCACTAGTTCCTGAGATTAACGCGTTCAAACAAACAAACAAACTCTTCAGCTTTATAATATTAGTATAGATTTATATTTGACTATTATGACATTGTAAGGGTATTTTATTGCGAATGTCACCTATATATTTTCAAAAGTACAATCAATATCTACGTTAAATTTGTCATATCCATATTAAGATATCGTTACGAAATTTATGAACGTTACGCCATGTATTTGCGTTACGAAGTATTTATAAGTACAATCTTTTGACGTGTGCTATGATGTAGTGATTGGGCGGCGAGCGCGGTGGTGGAGTTCTGCGCGACGCTGGTGGACTCCCCGCGCGTGTGCCAGGGCCGCGACCGGCAGGCGGCCAAGCACGCGCCCAGGGACGACACGCTGCGGCTGTCGCACGCGCAGGTCACTATTTGTATTTGCTCGTTTAAATAAAAAAGCAAGCGAGTTAAATATTGTTTCAAATTCGAGGAATGAACTGGTCGTGGTTCGTATTCGGCAGCTGGAGGTTCTGATCCGCTACGTGGTGGCGGAGGCGCGCGAGGCGGAGGAGGGCGCGGGGGGCGGCGAGGCGGGCGCGGAGGCGATGCGGCGGCGCATGGAGGCGCGCCTGCCGCTGGTGCTGCGCTGCTGCCCCTCCGCGCCCGCGCTGCTGGCCGCCGCGCTGCAGGCCGCGCACCACCCGCCGCTGCTGCTGCTGCTCTACATGAAGGTCTAGCACCACGCGCGCCGTGTCTAATTTGGCTATTCCACTTCATTATAATATTCCTAATATTTGAAATATAATAATATTTAATTTGTTCATTTCAATTTAATGCTGACATATTACAGTTGTAGAATTTCCTCCTATGATGTTTGTTGTTCGGGTTACAATTAGACATAAACGAGAACGTACTCCAGTAGTATGAAGTGTGTGGTGTACTGCAGGTGCCCAAGATCCAGCAGCTGCTGTTGGGGTGCTCGGAGCGCAGCGCGTTGTCCGCCTCGCTCACGCGCACGCTGCGCGCGGCGGCGGCGGGGGCGGGGGCGGTGGGGGGCGCGGGGGCGGCGGGGGGCGCGCGCGCGGCCGCCACCAGTGCCACGGACCGCGTGTCGCACGCGCTGCTCACCGCGCTGCACGCCGCCACCCACCATACACACTCTAAGGAACACAACAACAAGTACATCACTTTACTCTTAATATATAATAGGGACGATGAGTGGGTAAAATAACTTCATTAGTTCTTTAAAAATAATAGATGCGTATTTTTTTTTGTTTCATTCAACAAGTAATAGTGCTTCGTATATTTTTTGAGTCAGCATTTTATTTATTATTCGCAATTTAAATGAATATTTTAACCTACTTTCACTTCAGTTCGTTGCAATACGAATTCCTAGCTAGTATCATTACCTTGGTTTTTATAAATAAACAGTTAACAGTTAAATCAGTGCTTCTATCAAGATTACCATAACGAGATCATCATCATAATCAGTTAAAAGGTGTACAGACCGTACAAATAGTTTAGATCATAGATAATAATAATTTTGTCATTACATTTTAAATATTATTAATTTTTGGTGTCTTTAAAGTGATAAAACGAATATGCCATATTTGAACGAGTAACGTATCGATGATGCACCCGACGTTGTCCACGCAGAGTGTACCGTCTGGAGGCGGGCGTGCGCGGCGTGTGGGCGCGCGTGTGGGGCGCGGGGGCGCGCGCGCTGCCGCTGTGCGGGGCGCTGCTGCGGGGCGCGCCCCCCGCCCGCCACCACCACCACCTGCTGGCCGCCGTCGAGCTGCTGCCGGACCACCAGCTGCTGGATAGGTGCACACCGCACTATACTATACTTATGTTTTTGCCCTATAAAAAATTATAATATACTTATGATAATTATTTAACGAGTACACCTCGGCTTTTACAAATTATTCAGATTACGTTAGCGATAGAAATTATAGGATTAGCAAATAATTAGAAAAATACTTATTTACTTTTTTATTTTAGCGCTCGCATACAAACTCGTGGTTAATCAGAGGTCGGGAAGCAATTAGATTCAGTCGAACGCTCAGTTTATAAAAATATATATATAATTGCAATCGATGTGTGAACAGCGAGGAGATCCACGGCATAGTGGACTGCTACCTGAGCGTGTGCAAGCAGCAGACGGGGCGGGACAGCGCGCTGGTGCACCGCGTGGCCGCGCTGCTGCGCCGCTACCTGGCGCTGCGGCCCGCGCGCGCCGCCGCGCTGCTGCACGCGCACAGGGACACCGTCGCGTGAGTCTAGAATTAATAAAAAATAAAAAGAAAACAGACGATTTTAATTTCAATCTAAACATGTAAAAAAATAATAAAAATATTTATAGGAGTACGCCGGCCCTGAGCGCGTTGAACGGCGCGGAGCTGAACGCGCCGTCGTCGGCAGCACCGCCCCCGCACGCGCTGCTGGCGCTGCAGCGCCGCACCGATCCGCCGGAGGAACTGCACTGGCTGTTGCAGGTGCGTACATTCATGTCTTTCGCTTCTATTTCAAATCTAATAATTTGACTCGTTTTTATAGAGATTTAGACATAGCCGGTCAATCGCACAAATAATTATTGACGTTTTTAAACGCTAATGATTGTCAAATTTGCATGGGTAATGTCGCTTTCGAAATAATTTTTAAAGTCAGGTATTACGGGGTTTAAAAGGTATATGTTGTAATTAGACAAAAGAGGGGAAGGTATAAGTTTTTCTGCTCTGAAGAACAATTTTGGTTTTGCGGGTTACTACGTATTTGCTTTGCAGCGTCGATATAGTGTTTTTAACACCATTGCTCGTAAAGCTGATGTAATTTCACCGGTTTTAAATATGTAAAGCGGGTCATAAAAAACGCGTGTGTTACCAAAGCAAATAGTTTAGTTATAGGCCATACAAATTCCATAACAGTATTATTTGCCATTTCGCGCGCTGTTGCTATTCAAATTTTGAACTAATCGCCGCGCGGCGCCAGTCAGTAGGCAGCGCTAGCGCGCTGTTAAAATGGCGGGAAAGCAACAGTGTACATTCACAGATTGAGTTTATTTAATGTTTTTTTTTTTTCTGTTTCCTCGCAAATGTGTTAAAAAACGTCGTACGATATACGTGCGTATTGGTTATAACATGCTCGGCTCAATTACGCCCTCGCCTTCGGCTCGGGCTGAAATTCCGCGTCGCATGTTGTAACCATCATAATAATAATATTTATTTATTTGCGAAAATATGGTTACAAGGTTCTTTTACAATGTTAGACCAGCATATTTTATCGTCAAGACGATGTGCAAATATTGTCTGATTTTATATAATAAGAAAATGTCAAAAAATTAAATTACATAAAAAATAGTAAATGTCAAATAATAGTCAAAAGATACAATAGGTTCATGTTATAATCAAAGCATTCATATAATAATTAAGAATGAGATTTATCTTGCAAGAATTCATTAATTGAATAATATTTTTTATCCATTAAATATTTAAATAAATAGGATTTAAATGTAATAACATTATCAATAGTTTTAATATTATTCGGTAATTTATTATAAATGCGTATACTCATACAATATGAGTTCTTCGAATTCACAACGAGTCTTTGAGTTGGAATACATAAATTTGTACCCTTCCTACCTCTATGTGCAAAATCTTTATTTTGTTTAAATAAATGGAAATGTTTTTTAACAAATATCCCCATTTCAAAAATATATAAACATGGAAGTGGTAATACATTTAATGAATTAAACAAAGGCTTACATGAGTCCAAGTAGCCTGCACCACAGACTGACCGTATGCATTTTTTTGTATTTTAAAAGCACGAATTGCATCGACCGAATTACCCCATATCACTATACCATATCGCAACACAGATGATATGCTATTAGAGCGGATTGTTTAGAGGCCACTTATCTAATTCTATTAAGAGCAAATATAAATTTGTCCAATTTGGCAGCAACCATGTCTATATGTGCCTTCCAATTACAGAATCTATCTATCGTGATCCCTAAGAAATTTGTTTCATTTACTTCTACTAGTTTGTTATCTTTATGCCATATATCTATTGTTCTAGTTTTAGTATTTGTAGTTTTTAATTGAAAGTATTTCGTTTTATTAATGTTAATTTTTAGGTCATTTTTCTCCAGTCATTGTGTGACTTTTCTGAATTCAGTATTAGCTATTCGTTCAATATCATCACAATCCTGACCTCTGATAACAAGTGTTATGTCATCTGCAAATAGGACACACTTTTGGTCAGTAACACTGGGCAAATCATTGATATATAATAAAAATAAAAGTGGTCCAAGTACGCTACCCTGGGGTACGCCACAATGATTTAGTGTATATTTAGAAGTATAAGATTTTCTAAAATTACCTTGCATCTTAGCTATTTCGACACACTGTGTGCGGTTGCTTAGATAACTTTTCATCCATTCTAAGGCATTGCCCCTTATTCCATATCTATCTAATTTGTGTAGGAGTAACCTGTGTGAAACAAAATCAAATGCTTTGCTCATGTCCAGGAATATTGCCAAAGTATTTAGTTTAAGATCGAGGTTATGTGTAACATGTTTTATGAGATTAAAACATGCCAGAGTCGTACTTCTGTTTTTTCGAAATCCAAACTGTTCATCTTTTAATGTATCTTGAGATGAGATAAAAGAGTAAACTTTGTCATACATCACTTTTTCAAACACTTTTGAGAAGATTGAAATAAGTATCTTTCAATGAATTACTTAGTTCATTGAAAGATCCTTTTTTATGTAATGGTTTAATTAATGAGCGTTTTCATACTGAAGGAAAATGACCCTGCATAAAAGACAAATTTATAATGTGAGTTAGTGGATGTACAACAAAACTAGCACTTTTTGATATGATATCCGTACTTAATTCATCGATGCCAGTTGAGTGTGTTTTTTAATTTTTTTATTATCTTATAAATATCATTTTCATTAACCGGTGTTAGGTAGATATTATTTGAACAGATTGGTATGTTGCGTGTTGCATAAGATATGTCAATTAATTCATTATTAGCATTAGTTTCATTAATAAAATATTCATTAAAATTGTCACTTATTTGAATTGGGTCATTAATATATGAATTGTCATTGAGTTTAATTTCTGTGATGTCCTTTATATTTTCTTTGTTTTTAAAATTATATTGAATTATATCCCACTTCGACTTGCAAACATTTTTTGCTCTAGATATGTAAATAGAATAAGTTTTCCTTTGCGCTTGATATATACATTTTTTTAGTATCTTAGAGTAAGACAAATATTTATTTTTCTTCAAATGTGTATTTGTTGGGTTTAGACGATATTGAAGCTAAAGACGTCGCTTATGAATACAGCATTTTTTATGCCTTTAGTAAGCCAGCGGTTTTTAATAGGTTTATTAACCCTTTTTATTGTTATTTTTGGAAAACATAAGTCAAAAAACATTTTATAAAGTTCGTGAAAAAGATCAAATGCTTTTTCAGTATCTTCTTCTTGTAGTACTTCATTGAATGACAAAGACGACAAACACTCTAAAAAATTTTTTATATTATGTGTGTCCATATCACGTTTCTTTTCAAACCAAATCCTTGGCGATTTTTGGTACTTTGCATTATTATCGACAACAAATGTAACGCTTTGACCCGTTTCATGGTCTGATAAACATAGATAATGTATTTTAACAGTTACCGCACTATGTATATTACTTACAATAATATCTAAGCAGGTATTTTTACGAGTAGGCTTATTAATATGATTATATATGTTGTGGTTATGAAGAATACTTGTTAACTCTAGCTAACTCTAGGGAATAGAGTATCTGTCGGATTTCATCATGTCAATGTTCCAGTCGCCACACAAAATAATATATTTTTTCCTTATTCGTGATAGTCTATTGAGTAAATTTTCCAATTGTATAAATAATATGTCAATATTAGATGTTGGTGTCCTATAAATGCAAATTATTATCAGATTATATTGTAAAATTTCAGTAGCGCAACATTCAAACACAAACGGCATGGCTTCTGTTATATCATATATTTTTGAATCTAAATTACATTTCAGCTATATGCAACTACCACCCCTACGTTCTGTCCTACAAAACGCGGAAGCTATATAGTAACCCTTTATATTCAGATTACACTGCGAACCTTGTTTCATGAATGTTTCGGTTAAACATATTATGTCAATATCCCCTAATTCATTTTTGAGTTCTTCTAATGTTATTTCAAATAAATCACATTTGCTTAGAATGCTCGCGATGTTCTGATGAAATAGGGCAACTCGATTTCTGCATACGAAAGAAAAGATCATTTGGGCTAACCGTTAATTTATCTATTACCTTTTTTTTAAAGTAGAACGTTATAGTTTTTTGTATCAGATTTATTTTATTTTTTTTACATTTATTTAAATGATTGTTCAATTTCATACTTTTTAATAACCTTTTTTTAATTTGTTGTGGTGCAAGATACTCGTTATAGTATGTAATATAGTCAATTTCACAATTTATTTTCATACATAATTGATTTAAATAATGGTTTCTATTTGTCAAAAAATTCTTAGTATTTATTTCTAGAAAATAACAATTGGGATAGTTTTTAGTTAATAATTTTATATTATAATTTAATAAATCTTTTTTTAATTAAGGATTAAATTGCACATCAATAATAAAAACTTTAGAATGTCTTAATTTATATAAAGCTATACTTAACTCCGAAAATAATAAGTAAGGATTTTTATCATTCATTCCAACTGCTAAAATAACAACATCATTTTTGTCGAACTTTAAATCATTACAACTAGTTAATATTTGGGAGCATGTAGCTTCGGGTTTAACTATTGCGGTTATGGAGTAGGGGTTGTTCGGTAAGTGTTTCCTTTTAGTATAAATTTTTAATAACAAATACTGTATTTGTTTATCTCCGAGTAATAATACCTTGTTTTTCTTAGTGTCCGGTTTCATGTTGTCATAATTCTGCGTATGTGTGGCGCCATCTCTCGAATTCACGACGCTATCTGTAGATGCAATCAACTGAGCATCAATTGCAGATCTTTTATCGCTTTCTTGAAAATAATGCGGGTAGTTAGTAATTTCAGTTGACTTTTGTGGAGTATTAAATAACACTGTGTTATACATATGAAGCGGAGATATTCTCGAAATATGATGACAGTTTATTCGAGTTATTGTTTTTCTGAGTGGTGTAAAAGTTTCTTTTCGTTGGCCTATTTCAGACGTAAGTTTTTTTTCGTTGGCCTATTTCAGACGTAAGTTTTTTGAGAGTGACAACCTGTGTATTTTGTTTTTCTATGGTTTTTCTTAAATCCTTATTTTGTAAGTTTAAGTTATCGATTTCTTGCTCAGCCTGTTGAAGCATAAGTTTTAAGTTTTCGATTTCCTGTGAATAGTCCTTGTCGTAATTTGTGCTACACTGCATTTCGCTGTAAGTACTTAGCATTGTGGAATCTAATATAGACGTATTCAATTCATGTTCTGGGTTCATTGATATATCCAAATCAGACTTTGCTCTTCTCAGTCTCGGCCGTATAGTTATATTTTCCATGTTGATATAGATTAAGCAATAAACGGCTAATTATTAAGTTATATATTAACATCGTAACGCACTAATATCGTAATGCGCAATTGTATGCGTGCAGGAGGTGGAGGCGTGGGGCACGCGGCGCGGCGGCGCGTGGGGCGGCGCGGCGTGGGCGGCGCGGCTGCTGCGCGCGTGCGGGCCGCTGGCGGCCGCGCCGCACGCGCCGCTGCGGGCCGCCGCGCACGCGCTGCTCGCCAAGCTGCTGCCCTGCGTCGCCGACACCACGCCCGGTACGCGTACAACACCTACCTGTTTATTTATACTGACACAAAACTATTTTTAATATGTGACCCTCTTAAGTTTCGATGCTTGTTCCGAAAATTGGAACTTTTTAATAGGTATTGCGACTTCTCTTTTTGATGAATAAATATTTTTATTCCAGTTTATACGTTGACTTCGAAATCGACTATCACTATTAGAAATGAACTCGATGATATTGAACTTTGTATATATGTCTTTTTTGTTGCCGCATCACTGAAAGATACAAATCTCGAACGTCCCCGTCCCCATGCTATGTGAAAAAGACTAAATCCGACGGCTCGCTGCACCCACCCGCCGAACAGAGGCAATTCGGTCCGATCACCCGGCCCCGCGATATCTTTCCCTCGTGTGCAAACATATCGCTGTTGCGCTCGTCCACATACGTCTAATTTAGTCGTAGTGAAGTGAACTTTTAACAGTTTTACGATATCTATCAGGAGCTGCGGCGGTCGACGTACCGAATTCTCCCTGTTCGTTGACCGTGCTATATACACGTGAACGTCTAATAATAATACCGAAACTATTCGAATCAAATCGATACTAAATAGAGTATAATTATCGATGATGATGATCGAAAAAACTATGTGCTATATCGACTAAACAACGGAATCCGTATATATTCCTCCATTGTAAACTTAAAAAAAAATGTAAAATTGTAACTGTTAACGCTGACAACAAATTAAAAAGTCCCAGAGTTCCAATTCCGAAATTTTATTTTCATTAGACAACATCACTTGCCATATCATACCCATATTATTTTACGTAATACAAATAATACGTGATTTAATTAACACTTCAGTTGTAACGAGTTCATCGACATCAAAATTTCAATATGACAATAAACAAGGAATGTCAATTCACTTTGTAAAAAACAATTCAAATCGAACTGAACTCTGAGTAATTATCATTATTATCATCAGTCCATTAAGGCTCAGACCTTCCCTATGTACGGAATCGAATCAAATAGGGAGAATGAGCCATAACCCACCATGGATGCAATTTGCGGATTAGTGAGTATTAACGAAATCATATGCAGCCGGAACCAACGACTTAAAGTGCCTTCTGAAGCACGGAGGAGTTCGAGATAATACATTTTTCTATTTTACCCATTCTATGACCAGCCAATGCTAAAACTGCTTAACAACCGTATCGCAGCGGAGCGAGCTACCCTCTGCGCCATCCAGTGCCTTATTTGTATTTGCCTCATATTGTAGGTATATATATCCTGTGCTGTCATTTTGTTTAAACAATGACATCGTGGTTTTTCTAATGGGGCACGTGACTTAGATTATACATAAATCGTAATTTTTATATGAAAAAGAAATAAAAAATTTAAAGAGTTTATAATATAACTATCAATAAACCTATGTGAATAATCAAGTATTCACGAAAACGTCGTGTGACGGGAGTCAAATGAATACTAAAGTAATAATTGAATGTTATTGCAGGTTTGGAAGCTATTTTGGAGTGTTTAGACTCGAGTCAGCCGGAAGTGGCACAAACCGCGCTCGACAAATTACCAGAACTAATATGCGGCATGCAGGAGCACGCGGCGCTACTGCTGGCCCAGGTGTTCCAGCTGGGGGTGAAATCCAGGCATCCCGTTGAACAGTGCATAGCTAAATGTGTCGCTACTATTAACTTGCACAGAGGTTGTTAGGAGAGGAAGAAATAGTGTTATAATTCATAAATGTTTATACTGGCATTGAAAAATGTGAAATGATGAATCTGAACAGTAGAATAATTGAAAACTGTATTACAGCTTGTCGAATGATATCTCTAGCATTCACCAGTAGTTACACTCTCAGTCACACAAGGAGTTCGAAACATGTATTAGTAATACAATCTTTTTGTAAATAGTATTTAGTAAGTTGTGAATATATTTGATATGAAAAGTAACATTACATTATTTCATTATTCATATCTATTCACAGACGCTTTAAGGTAAAATGAAAAAAAAAAATGTATTTGAAATCTATATATTAATTTAATGTATCATTATACTGCAATATACCTTATTATTTAGCACCATAAACTATATTTAATAGTATAAAACTTGACAAAATAAAAGTGCAATATATTTATAATAAAATTTAAAATAAATACAATACTGTGCATCTCAAATTGAGAACAGAACCCACACTCCGAAAGCATAAGAGAATAAACACTATTCCATTCACTTGACAACAGCCTATTGTAATATGTCACCAATCATTGGTGCCAAGATCTGAAAACATCTTATCTTTAATCTTTGGTTTGGGGTCATCCTTGATTTTCGTCTCTACTGCTCCTATTTGTCCAAGCATATATTCAAATTCTGAAAGTAAAACAATAGTTATAATAGTACAATCAATATTTATTATGTATGATGTGAAGAAATATGTTCAGTTTCTTCACTGGATTTTAAGTTGATGAAAATAGAATAAAGTTGAAATTCTGCTACCATTTACTACATTAAATAAATTTCTTTTAAGATAAGATCACCTATCATTATAAAAAAGGTGATAATTTACCTTCACAAGTGAGAGCTGTTCCCCTTAATTCGTGAGGACCAATGAACTGTTTCTTTAGGTCGCCTTCAAAGTAAACAAATACACTGGGTAAATTTCTCTCAGGATAATTTGGAATACAAGTTTGTGCAATGGCTTTTAAGAACTTTGTGTATGGAAATTTTGCTGCCAATTGCTTCATATGCTGATTTAACAAGGCACACTGCTGGATACTGCAAACAAAATAATGAATAACTGATTTTGCCAATTATTGATATGTTAAATGATTTCTTTCTTACATTTATAAGCATTATAAAAAGTAGAAATATTTATCAAGTAAATTTAATCTCACCCTTGTTTGTACAAATGAATGATGACCCATATCCCTTCTCCTGCTTTATTAACCTCCTGCACATAATCCTGTCCAGAAACTTCTCTAACATCTCCAAATCGGGGTTTCTCTGCGAGTCTCTTTAACTCTGCAATTCTTTTTCTCCTATACTCTTCAAGAACAGCTTCATCCTCAGAATCTTCAAGCTCATCGAGGCCATCTAAATCTAATTCAGATAGTTTCTGTTCCTCTGGAAGTACAAAAAAATATTTATTATTGATTCAGAGATTGTCGTAACTGATTTGTGGTTAAGGCAGAAGCTTGGAAAAATATACATATGCATGCTAAAACTCACAGCATGATAAATTTTGTCTTAGTACACACATTTCAAACATGAAGCAGATTTTTAAATTAAAAGGACAAAATCTTTTAGAAAGTTTACAATCTATGATATTGTAGTATTTTTGAACTGTTTATTTCTTAAATAGAATCAAAATATTATATTTTTCTAATGGTAAACAGGACAGGTGCAAAATTAACCTCAAAAGTAAAACTAACTTTCAGCCTGTTTCTGTTGTATAGTCTGTTCTATCATATTAACGATCTCTTCTTCGGACACTTCTTTTTCCTTCGGTGGTAAAATCCCCTTAGCTCGCAAGACATCGTTCCATTCGGTATCTTCATCAGGGTTCTAAAAATATACTTCAAATTTCTAACTTTTCACACAAAAGATTATCAATTAGACAAATAAATATACATGTTTGACAAACTCAATTATCCTACCTGCATTATTGCTCAGATAAAATAAATTATCAGTAGAATGAAATTACTTTCAGAAACAACAAACTAATTAAAACTGAAACATGAAACCAAAAAATGACAAGAGTGCGGAAGTGGCATGTCCAAGGCATGTCTATCTGAGTTCGATTTATGGAATAATAATCGACTTTTCAGATCGATTTGGATGTTAATTCGAATATTGATCGAATCGGACCGATTTAATTCAATTCAAGAACTAGCAATATAAGTTATTATATTATTGTTACTGATCTTGCATGTCGACGGCGGACGTTGAGCCATGTGTTAAGTTAATTCGTACGCTGGGTATGTGCTTTTTGGTTCTTACAATAATATTATTAAAAATAGATTGAATTCCAACACAACCTACTCTAGAAATCAGTTTTATTGAATTATATTATTTACTAAGTACCTAGAGTAGTCATGCTCTCTACAGTGGTGTCGTGTGCGTTAGGTCGTTACCATACCTCAACTTGAGTTGCATTGTTGAAATTAAAAAATCAGCCCATGTTGAGTTTTTTGCCGATTCTTGTCAGTACAAGATCTCCTACCTTAGTTTTGCGAACCACTGTGCTCTTTTGAATTCTGCGCTCCGCTTTTTGTTCTTAATTCCAAACCTGAATCAGGATGACAGTTACGAGCAACCAATAAGTTAGCTCATCGCTAATGTTGACGTATAAACCAAACATTGTTATTTTAACCGTAAGTTTAAGTTGTTTATTAAGTTACGTGTAAAGATAAACAACTGAAACTTACGGTTAAAGTAAATTAAAATTAATTTGAAAGTTAAATATTATAAGAAACACAAAACGATGTCATATTTATTAATTTTCGATACTCAATTTACTTTAATTACGTCAGAAACAAAATTTGAATGAATATCGTAAACAAAATCCAAACATAGCGAGTGACATCTAGTATGATTTCAAGAACTAATTTTTATTTTTTAAATACTTCCTCATTGAGTGATAAAGATGTTACAAAAGTAAAAATAAAACTAGGTTTTATAAGTAATGATGTGCGGAATCGAATATCATTAATCAATTTTGGAAATAATCAGTTGCTACCGATTATGATTTCCTAATCGACGATTAACCTTCCATTATTTCTTAAAACATTAGCAATAGGAATAGTTTAAAACGTTAGTATAGTAACTACTTACATTATATAAGGCTATTTTCCACGCGGACCAATTCGCGGATACAGCTAGTTAAATTCCATAAATTTTGCATGTACAATCCTGGTATAGTAAAGATTTTTAACTATTCTTCATTAACTCGGATGGCTTTGAAATACGGTGGAATTAATCTGAAATCATTAATAAACTTTTGGGGAAAAATATTTAATAATCGTTGTCATTAATCGATTACGTGTAACACTATTATTGATTAATAGATGAGTATAATAATCGAATCGGCACATCATTAATTATAAGTACCTAAAGAAGTATCTAAACATTATTAAGTTTTCAATTTTCGTTTTTATTTTGGTGTTCGTCGTGTCTCTGTCGCATGTTGTTTCTTTCCATGCGTTTGCGCTTTGATGTTTTAATAATATTTTATTATTATTTTATTAGTAAAACAATATTTTATTTTAAAACGGTAACACATTAAATTTGACAAATGACACGTTTTTTCTACTTACCGTCTGTCAGTCTGACACACAGGTCTGACATCTTCCTTGTCATCATTCATTGTCATTCTGCGTCGTGTTGGAAAATTCTGTTCGATATGTTCAGTCAAGTCTTGAAATAAATGAATTTTAACATGGCTGATACCGAAGGACATGTACACGGAGATTCTAATTACCATGAGGGAGAAGGTAAATAAAGTTGAAATATTATTGTGTATAAGCGCGCGCGTCGTTAGTGCGTTTCGAGATCGACCGTGGTCAGACGGCTGTTTGTAAGAGCAAGTTACCCTCGTGCTATTATACCTCAGTGACATTGAAACTGGGTTCTTTTTATATTTGCTGCTTGGATTACGGTGTTGGCTGGCCAGGATATAAGTGTGTTTCGCGCAGAGCCATCGTGTGATACGCGCGTCAACAAAGAATAGTGAAAATGACTGGGGGCACGGACAGGAACCTCGACTCAGGTATTCATGTTGTTGTTTTATACTTATGAACAGTCGCGGAGGTTAGGTATACGTCGTATAGTAACAATCGTTTTGTCATTCAAGCCACAAATTTGTGTTGTACTTTGCACTGTTGTCATCAGTAGTTGAAAAGAAATCATATTTTTGTTTCCATTCTACCTTTTGTAATTAATCAGTGATAATAACGGCGAAATCGATTTATTCTTTATAGAAATATTTAATTCATAATATAATATTTCTCTTAGGTAGGTGTCATTTTAAAAATTAATGTTTTCTCTGTTTGTAAAGCTGCATTTGACATTCACAACCATATTGTATACATACATATATTCATTATTTTATTTTGTTGCCAATTTTTTATTTAGATCAACTTTTAAAGCTTATAAGAACTCAGTATTGAAGTGAAATTATCATAAGCAAAATGAAAGGTTTCTATTGCTTATGGCATGAATGTGCACATTCTCACACATTGGTAATTAATTTAATTGGCTTCTATTTTAATGTTTTATAAACATCTTAGTTAAACATTTTAACACAGTATGAAGTATTTAGTTTGCATTGTATTATGAATATTATTTGCAACGATCCCTTTATTGAATTGTTGCACAAGTTCAATGAATATAAATACATTATTCATGTTAACTGTCTAACATGTGGTTACATTGCATACATTTTATTATTACATTTAGTTTTTCAAGCAGGTTTTTGTACATTCATTTGGTCCGGTAATTAAGTATTCTTTTGTTATTACAAACACATCATACAACTGTACCTTAATGATAATTGGCATAACAACTTTAAATGTGGCATAGTATGATCCTTTAATCACACTACCACAATAAAAGCTTAAAGTGCATAAATTAATAAATAGATTGATTATACATTACTATTGATATACTGTTTATTAAATTTTATCAATTTTGCATTCACTATACTGTACTATACTATACTATACTGTACTATACTGAAAAATATTCTTATTAAAAATGCTTAAAGGTTAAATAGGCTTTTTTAGTATTTTTCATCAAGAATATTGATATACTGCATGAAATTTTATTGGATATTTTGCCAATATTGATTTGATAAATTAAATAAGTTTTAGCCCATGAGTTTATGCGATTCTTTGTTTTTATCATGGATATATTTACCATGATAAGCAGCTTTAGATTAATATTTTAAATATTAAATTAGTTGCTTGCAAAAATGATACTATATTAAACAACAAACATTGGACAGGGATGTTATTAATATTATACTTATTTATTGTTTTGTTATCATACAATAATATACTCTTTTTAATATTCACTAATCATATCTACAATATTATCAAATATGTCAAAAGAAATAAAAACATTAATTTTATTTAAAAATAGGTAATCACACAAAAGTAAGACTAATTATCAATCACTGATATCATCTATAGTTATAGATATGTACACTATATTATTGCCTTATCACTATCAGTAGTAAGGCTTCCATCAATCTGATTACTTACTCATCATAACATTACAAGACTCATTTAATTATAGAAATGTGAAAATTTGAATATTTAAACAAAATCTTTATCATAATTGTGATAATGCCATAGTCATTGTAAGGTCTGACGTCAGTTATTATTTCAAGCAAAAGCAATATCTGTCTACGTCTTAATACTAATAATTTTAATTGATACTGGAAGATTTTGATGGGTATACTTTTTTATATAAGCTGTTAACATAGCAATCCAAAAGATTTCATACAAATTGAACATAAACCTAACCTAAGGCACTCTGCACTTAGCCCTTTGTAATATTATCTTAGCATTATCCAATGCAAGGACACCCCAACTATTTTGGCTAACTACATATTAGGTAAAATCTAATTTTACTTTTTTTCAATTAATAACCAAATACTTACCAATTATTTTAAAGCTATTTTACATGATCTAATATCTTACTAATATTTAATGAACCCTTAGACTCTTAATGTTAATCCTATAAGAACTATCAGAACGTTTAACACATAGTTACCTGTGGCTGTGTGTGTGTACGCACCACCTACTGACCTGAAGTCATTAACCTTGTTCAGTTTAAAAGAAAATAATATTGATAGCTGTTTTTATTTTAAGCCGACCTCCAAAGCCAAGTTACACTTCAAATCTGGCGTATAGGCCGCGATTCGTTTCCTACTTGAGTTCATGTAAAAAATAAAGTCATTTATTAATCAGTTCATACTTGTGTTGGTATGCTACACTACAGTCTACATGCACATAGCACCAGCTTTTCGTCCGAGGCTTCGCCCGCGTGGATGTAACTTTTTGCAACATTTTTCCTTTGCTGTTCTACTTCTATTAGTCATACATAGCATGATGTTATATAGCCTTCCTCAATAAATGGACTATTCTTATATTTTTATATCACAAAAATATTTTTCAATATGGACCAGTAGTAGACATTAGCATGTTCAAATACACATTGTATAGATTCGAATTTCTTGACGTCGATATGGAATGTACAAAGTCAGTATTTAGTGGCGGCATGTTATAGTCTCATTAATACAGTTTTGTCTTTCATTAAAATTCACAAGCCGTTCGCCTAAATAATGCGGAGTATGCAAGTGACGCGTGGGCTTGTCCGACCGGTCCCCAATAAGATTAGCTCTGTTCTGCTGATTGGACAGACAAAGTTGCGTGTACAAATATATATTAACACTTGTATACCTATAGGTAGGAATGGATATAATATATATTCTAAATCCGTAACACTTTCCGTTTCCGAGTTTTTAGACGTCGCGTATTATTTAAGGCTTGGTATAAAGACAAAACACGCCTCCCAATTGTCGGACTCAATGAGATAGATGGGGCACAGTGAATGGTAAATAGCTTGGCAAAAAATATTTTTAATTAATAATTCACAAAATATTACGAATATTGTAAAAGTTTCCGGTAAAGCGTTCGGTAACAAACTGCCATATTTATTTCACTATGACAAAAGAGTATTATTATGAAAATTTTAGAGGTAATTCGTTACTTTGTGATTTAGTAGATAGTTACCAAGAACTGTTTAAAAAAGATATGTTTTCGAAATCCCATAATTACATATACTTTATTAGAAACATCAAGATTGAGACCCAGATTCACCGCCTATAACATTCACGTCGGTAGATTGTATTCTATACTGCACCCTTACAATGGTATTCATAAACAAGATTTAGCGTAAATTTACGCTAAATTTGAAATTTGAGTATTAGTCCAAATTCATAATACACAGAGTATAAGCAAACCTACTGCCTTGTAGGAGTAAATATTATTCCGGCGAACCTGGTACTAGGTTAACCTTTGCCAAGTCTCTGTTTAGTAATATGGATTTTGACTAGTACTAAGTTCAATCTTAGCGTAAATTTTCTCCAACCCTAAATCTTGTTTATTAATAACACTGTTATTGTTTTTCGGTAAACGTTTACCGGGAATAACTCTTGATCTCCTATCATTAGAATAAATTTAAGTAAGAAGGAAATATGCAATTACAATATACTGGTATTACGTTCACGGATGACAGCGTGGCCGAAATTAAACCACGTCTGCGTGATGTGTTGTGATTATGGGTAATTTAATACGATGGGTCGGTTGTTATCACTGGAATACTAACCTGTTCCTATAATTGAGAACATTATTATTCGTCAACGGAATTTCATATTAACAAAATATGCTATGCGATGTTAACTTGTGGAATATAAAGATTTTAAGGTGATTTCACACCGCGACATAAAGGCAGGTGACATGTCACCGAGTGACACGATGACGGTTATATTTCTATTTCATTCATAATTTCAATGAGTCCCAAGTCAACCTAAACACCCTCGAACCATGATAAGAGAATTACAGATCTATTGGTCAACAGGAGAAAACTGAACGCCTTAATAATGATGAATTATTATTATCCAGCGTATAGATATAGATAAAATAATTATTACAAACAATTATCGTTATAGATCGAACAGAAGTAACTGCTAAGTCCGATACACCCTGGTACAACTTGTAAAGAGAATACTTCCACGAATGCGGGCTATAGATTAGTGTGACACTCGAATAAAGGAAACATATCTCATTGAACAGAAAAAGTTCTGCGTGTAACCACAATATTCCATTGATGGTTATTTATATTATATTTGAGTTCGTTTTATGATTTGGGACATAACTAGTAACTATTAATCATGTTCGCCAAACAATCGATCTCGTGAATAGCTCAAGGATTTATTCACTTACGTATCTAGCATTCTGGCATTCTTTCAAATCGGTACGTACCAATAGATTAAGATAGGTAGTTGAATCACTTTTTGAATCTAAATATGAACCTGTCTTTACTTTTTGTTAAGTAGAATTTATCTTTGTAATCAGTCTTTACTTTTACCGGCGTTAACTAGTGTAACGTTTCATAGAAAAGGAGTACGCCTTCAGATTTATTTTCGAAGCAAGAATGTATGTATGTAGAATTATTGCAATGATTAGTCGTCCCCGCCCACTACCGTACGTCGCATGCGCATACGCACATGTCAAAAAGACGATTTGTAAAATAAGTTTGGTTCTTATGAGTATTAACGCGGTCAGGTAATCTAAATTTAAAAATCCAAAGACTTATCATTACAGATATTCAAATAATGTGTATAATTTGAGAATCGTCATCTTGATAAAACATGTCTTCCAAATACAAATACATAGACTACTAGACCTCGTTTACACAAACGGTAAGGTCAGTTATGTGATAAGCCATCATCACCCGGGTGCATTACTCTTTCCAAGTTATTTGCAAAAAAGTGTATACTTCTGCCATTAACTAAATTATTTAGATCACGAATAAATTAAATACAAAGTAAAGCGATATCAAGATCAAGGAGTATGAATATTCCTTTATAAAAGCAAAACTTATCTGTGGTATTGCGGAACTGAAAATCTACGGACTCGTTTACACTATGTTGCATAATTTTACATTAGTGTTTTTTTATACATATGAAACTAGTGAATCACCCCGGCTTTGCACTGATGTCAATTTATATGTAATAAACTCCCAGTGGGCATGACGTTTTCTTATCATTAATTATCGTTAGACAAACAGCCAATTTACACAAAAACTTAATTAACCGTAATGCAAGAGTTTCCTTATTAATTACTGACAAATTAAGACAAACATATTAGGTTGAGAAAAAAATATTTTCGCATATATTATGCATAAACTTGTAATAATATATTTCTGGCTACACCATTTGTATCTGGCTGGTTTCGGTATCATTAAAAGTTTCAATTTTATAGAAGATAACTCCGAATTCAAATTAGGAAAATGTGTGATTTTCATTTGTTTTTCTTGCTGTCAAAATGAGTGAATGTAATGAAGAAATTCGATACATTTTCATATTTAATTACAGAAAAGGTAAAAATGCAATGTAAGTCGCGAAGAAAAAAATTGTGACGCTTATAGACCTAGTGCAGTTTCTGTGAGAGTAGCACAAAACTGGTTTAAGGGTTTTCAGTGCGGTAATTTTGAAGTCATAGATGCACGTCGCTCCGGTCGCCCTGTTACGGATTTAATGGATGCCATTTTTAATAAGTGTACCGAACCATTTTTAAAGAAGCTGATAACTGGTGATGAAATGTGGATTACGTACGACAAGAGCGTGCGAAAAAGGTCGTGGTCAAAGGTCGATCAGGTTGCACAGACTGGCAATACCCAGGTAAACTCGCAATAAGGTGATGCTGTGTGTATGGTGTTATACGAAGGGCGTTATTCATTATGAGCTGTTACCGCCAGGCAGGCCCATTCGATTCTGAACTCTAATGCGAACAACTGATGAAATGAAAGCAAGAAGTTCAGAGAAAGAGGTTAGAATTAATCAATAGAAGAGGTGTGGTTTTTCATCTTGATAACGCTAGAACTCGCACACAATTTGCTGGGAGGTGTTAATGCTTACGCCGTATAGTCCTGACCTTGCACCCTCAGATTCACCTGTTTCGGTCTTAAGGCAGTGTCAGGTTAACATCACGCGAGGATTGCCAAAACCACTTCTCGGGGTTTTTGATCAGTAGTCCCAAAATTTCTAAAGCGATGGGATCATGTCCCTACCTATAAAATTGCAAAATGTTATCGAACAAAATGGTACCAACATACTTTAGTAAATAAACTTTCCGTCCGTGGCAAGTTTAGCTAGTAAATAAATATAATATACATACCTCCAGTGAGTGTCGATCTTTATGTTGGCAGTTGTCCAGGTGCGGTTATTGACACATCCGAATGTGATGCAGCCGACTCCTTGTATGCTGCACCCCCAGCTGCCCGGCTAGTGTTTATCATAATGTCATCATTAAAATTACAAATGACCACCTCCATATCCCGGGTTCGGTTCCTGCTCGTCTCAAGATAGAAAACTATTTTCCAAGCGCTATTATTATGTACTAGTTACTTTGAGATTTCTATAATATTAACATTGGATACTCTTATTCATTCGTTCAAACAGAAGTTTAAAACACTAAATAGAAAATCTATGTTTGCTATGTTGCAAATGCTTATTCGACAAACGTGTGGATTTGCTATTGCGACAGATAATAAAATGGAACATGTTAATTTTTTACTTTGATATTGCCAATATAGAATAATATCTGGACGCTGATTCATTTAGTTTTTCTACTTTTCTGTTGTTGGTAGTTGTTGGACATAAGACTATGGTGTATAATTTCATTTTTAATCCTTCCTAGGTTAATGAAGTTAACAAAAAAAAGCTAGGAAAATAAACGGCATAAGATGGTGGTCTATGTGCGATACAATAGTACGTAGGTCACATTCCTGCCAATTCTTCACTAGATCGATGGTTTTAAAACGGACTAATATCAAAAACTTTCGTTCTTTAATAGTCGTGTACAATTTGCGAGTCATTAGTTTCAAATTAATTTTAGAAACTCAATTTACTTTTATTACATCAGAAAATATCGTATATTTTAAAGTATGTAGCAACATTAAGTTTGATTTTGAGAACTATTATTACTATTACCAATCTAATGATGGAGCCAGACGTTAGCACTACGTAGTTACACGGAACAACCAGTTGAGGCTAGTTTAATGTTTTATACAAGGACTCTGGCTCGTGATAATATCTAGGATCTTATGATGGTTACGTACGTAACCATGGGAAACTTGTAATTAAATAACGCAACCCTTTTGGAAAACATAACATGGAATCATGTTCCATTTTCAATAATCGTCAGTGTTTATGATGAAATATAGAACTCCAGTTGTTTTCAGGACATCAGGTGGTCGGTAGGCTGAAAATGCAGCTCAGATACCGCGATGTCACGTGTAAGTGGCTGTTGTGGATGCGGTGTGTCGTCTTGTTGTAAGATCGCTTGTGACCCTGAATGTACTCTTCTATTTTTCTATGTTTCGTATTCATCTCTCATTGTAATTTATCACGATTTCCTTCTTGTAACATTTTGTGCAATTATTTCTTTTTGAATGCCTCCTTCGCTGAGCATTTTCAACGTCGATTTCATAGAGGTCCCGGGTTCAGAGCCCGTTTTTTCTATATTGTCTTTGGGCGAATAGTAGTTGTATCTACTTTCATTAGTTCTCTAAGTATAATTAATAATTCCATTATCATTCATTTGACATAATAGCAAATTGTAATTACTCACGCGCGTATACAGTCTGCTCGTATAATGGAGTTCTTCGCTGTGGTATAGGTAAGTGCCATCATACATTTGCAGCCTATTATTTTAAGATTTATATTAACGGCAAATTCACAATATCAATAATCCTTACAAATTTTACGTCTATTTATTGAAAATTGTTTATTACATCTGTACTTCAGCGATATTTTCAGTTTCCGCAATCAACACACTGTCGATGTTCAAACTTAGACACGACAGTCGAAGACTTTAATAGATAATTAATCAAAATCTTTAAAAAAAATAACAAGGTTAGGCTTAAAACACTGACTTAACGTACCTAAGCCTTAATTCGATGTTATTGACCCACACGCCCCGAAATCTGAATAATAAACAAATAAACCAATTAATAATTGTCTGATACAATAATCAAATTAGTTCATTACTTTTCCATTATAGGTATGTTTGAGCAATAGCTACTTTAATAGTGTAAATTATGTACTCTTCAGTTACACGTTTCAGAAAAAGAAATGCTATGTTATTATGACAAATATTAAAGCACATTTTTGTCCTTGATGATAAAGAAAATTGATTCTCCTCGCGTGCGTGTCTGAAGCTCACACCGAGACTTGAGTTATTGTAATAGCCAGTATAGCTTGCATAGCATGGTTCCAAGCTTGGGTATCATTACTGTACTTGTTTTTTTTTTCTGGCTAACGTCACGACGTAGCTGATTTGTCTCATCATCATTGTTTTTAACAAAATCTTGGACACTAATCAATTGATAGAATTGTTATTTTATAGAATTACATTTACGTGACGGGGTACACTTCATAAATAATCATTTGATATTTTTAAAACTTATTACAATATGGTCGTATGAATGAGTATCAATACTCTTGTGCTAAATTAAGATATCAGGTTGAAATTCGTTAACCGTTGCTCTCGAGATTGTCCTGACCTTCGCGTTCGTGGCTTATTTCCGTGAATACATACATGCTTCTCTTGACCTAAATAAAGTTTTAACGAGAGTTGCATTGTATTGCTGCTAAAGAGACCTCTTATAATAATAGGTACTTAATATAAATAAATTAAATACTGCTGGGGTGTGTAGATCTTTCAAAATTAGATTACATTGATGGTCCATCTCATATGATGTCATTTTGGTTTCTAGTATTTTTATAAATAATGTATTACTAATAATAATGGTATGCTACAAAACTCTTCATAAAAGTTTCTTCTTATTTTATACTTATGCAAGAAATCAAATTCATTTTGTTTAGCTCTGTCATTGTGTAATTAATATTCTAAATTAAAAATTGCTGTCAGTAAACACTGGGTCAGAGTGTCAGAGTCTTGATTGAAAAATGTAAACAAAAGCTATAGGTACCTATGTGCTTCACACTAGTAACCAGCATCATTCCACATCCGTTTACTTAGTAACAAAACAGATAAATTGATCATACCGCAGGCTAGGCGCAGTGGCCATGGCCTTGAGCACGTGTAACTAACTCGCTATAAACTGTCCAGGTTTATACATAGCAGAAACACAATGTCAACGAATATCTTCTATTGAGATGTAGAATTTTGTCTATTAGAATACACAAAACCTAATACTTTATAATCTTGATTATATCAATACCGTTATTGAATATTAAAAACACGCTGACACACAAATGTAGGACAATAACCAAATAAATAATACTGTACGCTTGTAATGTAATCTATGCATAATTAGTGGGTCGTTCACATCAAACTCATATTTTACTAACGAAATCGTCTTGGTGCGGTCACGACCATGAACGTTGAATAAATACACGTATGGAATCATTTTACTATTGTTTGCTTTTGTATAGCAGCTAACACGAAATTAATGCTAGCTAATGTGACGCTGGAATTGTCTGGTTATGTTAGTGATTAAATTAAACTGTTACTTAATGAAATGTCATAAATTAAGCACATGCATATTTTTGACAAATAATTAAGAATTTGAATGTAACACAACAACCCTCATAAGTTAGAATACTATTATTATTAGCTATTGACAGTTCTCGCTTCATTCAAGTTCTCGTATATTTGCATTATGTTACGACATTTTCTAAAGTACCTAATTATTTCTCTCGACTATAGATATTATATAAACATTAGCAATTTTATTAATAAACAAGGTTTAGCGTTGGAGTAAATTTACGCTGAGACTGCACTTGGTGTTAGTAAAAATTCATATTATTAAACAGAGACTTGGCAAAGGTTAACCTAGTACATGGTACTATGGGAGTAATATTTACCCCTGGAAGGTAGTAGGTTTACTTAAGCTCTGTATAATATGAATTTGGACTAATATTAAAATTGCAATTTTATCGTAAATTTACTCTGACGCTAAACCTTGTTTATTAATAGCACTGTAAGAGTCAAAGTCAAAGTCAAAATAATCTTTATACAAATAGACTTCTTAAAAGTACTTTTGAATCGTCCAACATTTTTTCCCTACCACTCGTTCAGGACGTCTTTTGGCTGATAAGAAGAACGAGCAAGAAACTCACCAGCTCTAATAAGAGTAACGACATTTACAAAAACCATGTCATTACCAGATCAATACATTATAAACAGAGATAAAAAAAAACTATGGTCTTATAATGATAACATATTCATTTAATAATAATGGAAACAAGATAATGAGTTTAGAAGTAATCACCTATCCAGTTGCTGGATCATCTCAAGTCCAAGCGTTCTTATCTGTTATATAATCGGATACCTTATAATAAGCTTTTTTAATAAGTAAGTGCATAAACCACAGATCACAGTAAAGGGGTAGTCTTTCCGTATTGGGATAAACTTCTACATTTCCTAATTTGAAGCAGTAACATTTTGAAGCTACGTAATTTTTGATTTCACGAAAACCGATTATACCTATTTGTATTACAGTAACTACTTTTTAAAAATATACTAGGTACTTCATATGCTGTTAATCTCACCACGTAAAGTATAGTAGGTATAAGAAAAAACTTGTTCGTCAACAAATTATCGCCCCTAATTAATATGAGTATGGAGATACAAAAAAAAACATTACATAGTGAACTCTAATGCGACGAGAATAAAGTTATGTTTTATGGGTTACTATTCTATAACACATTTGTTTTTAGGATCTGTCTATTTAAGACCTTGTTACAACAAAATCGCTAGATATTATTATGCCAGTATATTTAAACGTGAGACAACTAATTAAAGTCGATTCTATCGAGGTTGTGGATATTTTATTTTGATACAGATGACTTCTATCATAATAATAATTAGGGACACAGAATGGTAGAAAGTAAGCGAATACCTACTTCTATTTTATCGGTGTACACACAAAATCTGGTCAGAAAAATGATATAAGTACATGATTGTGTATGTGTGTGTTGTAACTGGTTTTTCAAGTTGACGCCGAAGCCTCAACATGCGTCAAATTCAGTAAATATCTACTTTCACCTACCTACAACATGTTAGAGAGTATGCGATATTCCTGAGAATCGTTAGAACCACGCGTCCATCATTCATGTGTGTTCTGTGAACCTTTGGCATGTCATCCGGCTAAAACTGCAGACTTGAAATGTTTAGAATAAATCTGCTTGTTTATTAAAGTAAATTCGGTGTAAATTCGGGTTACTTACACAATAAGTTGTTGGTTCCTATTGTTAAAAAAATACATTTGTTGGTCTTTATCGTAATGTTCTGTAGGTATCGTTAAAACTATGATAACCATAAGAACAGCCGGTATCGTAATGAACTGACAGGAACTGGGGCAAAATTTAAGTAACGTCGGATCTTCTTACTGATGAAATCAATATAACGGATTCAGGATGAAACAAATGGAAAATGTTCCATAAAACAATACAATATATGGGATGGGATTTTCTTTTTACATAATCAAGGTTTTATTCACATAATTTGAGTTCTGTGTTTCTTATAAAAAAAATCCGACTGGTATTTTATTTCATGTGTTTAAAATAATAATAGATAAAGGTAAAAAAACTGTACCCAGTAAGGAATTTGATACTTTTCATGGCCCATATTGGTAGTTTTTAACTCTGTGGTTGTTGTAGCGGGGTATGTAATTTGTATGTATTTGCACGTCAGCAGACAGGCTTAGATTTGTGGAAGACACATCGCTCCTTTCTCACGATGTATATCGCGATGAGAAGGACAGAGCTATTGTGTATCTTTTAGATGTTATGTTTTCATTGTTTCCTCACAGTCAATCTTGGGATACTTATCTTGATTTCTTTATTTGTATATTTTCATAGATGTGAATAAATTGTATAATGTAATGTAATTTATTATATTTTTCAGTTATGTAAACTTTTCTTCTTTTAAAATTTACCAAAACACAATACTGTGTTGACCAATTTGTGGCTTTTTATCAGTTGAATTTGTATAGGTGAATATTGATATCATATGTCTTCACAATATTATTCCTTTCACAGCGATAGATCTATTTAGATACATATTACTTATATATTTTTTGTAGTGAATGTTGTGAACGGTTGATTGTTAGGTGAAAAGGTCTAGGATAAATTAAGCTATACATTTCAAGGTGCCTAATCGAACATTCTCAGATAATATTTATCAAAGAACAAATAGATATTTTAACTGTGCATATTTTAATACATTGCATCTTATACTGTTAAAATAGGTTAAATAGCCAGCTATAATAAAATCGTTTCGGTTTATAACAAAAACATATGGTAAAGCTAATTTTTTAATATAAAATAATAATAATGATAAAAGGCCAAATCTATAGACCATTTCAAGTTGATTGTGTAATACAAAGCAGAATAATTTCAATGTGTGATTCAAAGTAGCCGCAATAGCGATTCGTGTTATCTTTTGTGTTGACATTACAATAATCTAATCCTTATCACGTTGCATCTTTTGTTTATTATAATTTCAATGCTGTTTTTAATTCACTAATCGTTTATGTTGCGGATTCACCTATACAAAATATTGCTACTTTAAAATAGCAGGCGTTATCATCTGGCGGTGGCTATATATAAACATTTTCATCATTTAATACATGCAATAATAAAAATATTAAGATTATAAACGAATGATGTCATATCACTTAAGTCGTTCTGAACTTGTGAACTGGCAGTGCATAATTTAGTTAAGTAAACGTATGTTTGTGGCAGCGGTAACAGAGAAGCCAGCACCGGCGCCCCGCAGCGGCCCGCGCGGCGTGCAGATCGTGAACACGGGACCGGACCACACGTTCATACTAGACGAGGAGGCACTCACCGAGCTGCTGCTGAGGGAGGATGTGCGCGACCGCAGCGTGGTGGTGGTCTCCGTCGCGGGCGCCTTCCGCAAGGGCAAGTCGTTCCTGCTCGACTTCTTCCTCAGATACATGCACCATAAGGTCAGTGGGTGGATTGAACATTTTTGTGAACTAATGATAAGCTTATTTCAGCCATATCGTTACTGCTAGTTGAATTTGAAAAAAAAGAATATTGCTGGCGGACAGGCGAGTCTCACTTTGAATGAAATCGAATAGTACTGTCACGAGGCCCCAGTGGAATTGGTGGGTGTGAACGACAGATGCAGGGGACCGAACGGCTTAAAGTGCCTTCCGAAGCACGAATCTTGACTTATTAAATTTTTGGGGGGTGATTGAGATTGAGAATCATAGGTAGATAAGGCAGTTAGTTATATTTTTAAAAGTAAAGTGAAATCTTTAGTAATGATCTTTATTATATAAGGTGTAATATTAATATATGCCGGGACTTCGAGGGGTGGATTAATTAAGTATACTGAACAACTTACTTATACTGTCATAATCCACCCCTTGAAGTCCTGGCATATAAATAATATTACACCTTATATTTTATAAACTTAAGTACAGTACAAATAATTATTGTCTCTGACTCTTTGTATCATTATTGTTAAACTTGTTTACGAAAATCAATCAATTAATAATTTATTGCATTCTACATTATACATCAGAAAGAAACTCAGTATGGGGTACAGTGCGTTATTTAATATTATTGAATTGCATGTATGTGTATGCATGTATCAGTACGGGTCGGGGGGCGGCGGCGGCGGCGACTGGCTGGGCGGGGACGAGGAGCCGCTGGAGGGGTTCAGCTGGCGGGGCGGCTCCGAGCGCGACACCACCGGCATACTCATGTGGTCCGAGATCTTCAAGGCCACACTAGACTCCGGTGAAAAGGTACCGGCACACTTCATACATTGGAAAAGTGATTCCCTAAGTTCAGGTGGACCCCACCCCACCACGAGGGATTCAAAGGGGGTCTACGTTGGCGTGAAAAAAAAATAGGGCGCCAATTTCCATCGATAGATAGTAAAAATGTAGCAACAGGGGGTCCACCGAAACCAGTAAATTTTTTAAAATGGTCTACGAGAAAAAATTGTTTGGGAACCTCTGCATTAGACGATTCCCTACTTCGGTAATCGAATGTAACACGTCAGGTTATCATATAGGTTTGATATGTGTACATATATTTATTTATTAACTTTGGAAAATATCTAAGCACGCATGAATAGTCTTGAAAGCTGATTGAATGATTTTCTATTTTGGCTACATGTAAAATGGAATTCCGATGTACCAGCCAGCACGTAATGACGCAGGCACAGACAGATACGAAATGAATCTGTAACTGTTGAATCAATATTACATAAAGTTAAAGTTATAACAGGAATCGGTTCAAGCTTGAATTCCAGATATATTGTTTTATGGTATTTATAAGCGATGCATGTATAATCATGTTAAATGGGAGTAAAAGTTACAAAAATATTTCGCTCACAGAGCTCATTTTTAACAAATTTGATTCAATTTTGTTAATTCAGTTGGTTAGGTTAATTATTGTGCAGCACGATCAAACCATGTGTGGTTTTATCAGGTGGCGATAATTCTGTTGGACACACAAGGCGCGTTCGACAGCGAGTCCACCGTGCGGGACTGCGCGACCGTGTTCGCGCTGTCGACCATGCTGTCGTCTGTACAAATATACAATCTCTCACAAAATATACAGGAGGACGATCTACAGCACTTACAGGTTGGTAACTAATATCGACCTTGTGTTTTTGAGAATAGAAACTAAAACATGATATGATGATTGATGAAAACATATATTTATTTAAAAATATGTATGTCACATTCGTTATCCTAGCATAATATGTATATCAATTGGCCATTTTATTATTTGTCATCAAAATGTCGTATACGCTATACCTTGACCTTTAGGATACTATGGGCAAATGCCCCTGGTTATATCAGTACAAGCAACTTATTATTAAACATCCTGTGACGTTACACAGTGACTATATTGCAGCGCAATATCGAAGTTTTTTTTTTTCAATTAGATCAAAAGATTATAAGCTTAATTCATGAACGTTGAACGATTGAATAAATAAATATAGATTGATAAAAACAGTTATTTGCATAAAAACGTGTGATTACGAGCGCTCGGGCTGCGGCAATAATGTGTGCTTCTATTATGTATCCGATGTGTCGTTTCCAGCTGTTCACCGAGTATGGCAGGTTGGCGCTGGAGGACAGCGGGCGCACGCCCTTCCAGCGGCTGCAGTTCCTGGTGCGGGACTGGAGCTTCCCGTACGAGGCGCCCTACGGGGCCGCGGGCGGCCACACCATACTGCAGCGGCGGCTTAAGGTAGCCTCACGTATAGCACATCTAGCGCTAGATGGTAATGTACCGTGTGTGTTGTGTAACGTGTGTGTTGTTTATACTCGTCAGGTGTCAGACAAACAGCACCCCGAGTTGCAGTCGTTGCGCAAGCACATAGCGGCGTGCTTCTCTGAGATTGCGTGTTTCCTGATGCCCCATCCGGGACTAAAAGTCGCCACCAATCCACACTTCGACGGGAGGTTAACAGGTGATAGTTGACTTGATTTATATACGATAATAATCCTATATGGCACAGTATACTTTATTTTACACACACCGCAGAAAATGACAGAAATTTACAAATAAATTTGAAGTTAACTGTGAATTTATAAGGTTTAAAATCTGCCGGCATGTTTATGACATTACAAAAATTATTTACTTTTTATTTCTCCATAAATCTTTTGAAATTAATTTACTGATTTCTACATCAATAATAATTTATATACTTACTAGCTACTTCGTGTTGTTACATCCCTTAGATGTATACTAAAGTGCATACAACCCCAATAAATCACCGCGTCTGCATTTTCGCCCTGTAGCCGGCGCGCCCGCATCCCGAGCGCGCCAGTCTCATTCTAACCTCCGTGACCGCTGCTAGTTCCACTGGTTCATACTATTTCGTCGTTTTATTTGTATTTTAATTTTTTTTAAACCCTAACGGAGAGGCTCACTCTAACATTTTGGTGGCAGCATAAAGGGATCCAAAAAATAGGATCCTCGGTACGTCTCTACCGATCCGCGCAAGTGAATTACTATTACCTGTGCAGTGCTACTTCAAGATTATTATTTACAAGCCTTGAACTATAATACAAACTCAGTTACCTCGTGTTCCAAAACTTATAGTGCTAATTCAAACTCCCAGAAAAAAAATTACCTGCAAGTGTCGAACTGCTCTACAAACTCGACATCCTAGTGAACTGGTTCCTGAAAAAGAAATTATAATCTAACTAATACCTACTTACCAAAGTGCATAAAATCACAAACAGTGAATCTAAAATAATATCATTCAAACAAAACTGTTCGTGGCGCCAAAATTCCACAAGTGCGTCCCATACTGCGGTCCATCGCCAGCTGCGCCGGCGCCCAAACCACTTCAGCCGTGTACCTGCTACGAAGTGTGTCCCGCAGAAATAAACATTTGTTTTTTGTTGTGTGCTACTTTGTAAGTGACCCTTACTTTTATTTCCTTTTTTGCATTCTGTGTTATTATTGTGTCTTTGTTTCTTTATTTTTGTAAACATTGCAATAGATAAACTTAAGTAATCTAATTAACAATGGCAATGCCGGCTCCTCACATGAACCCTGCCGTACTTGACTTACCTACGGACACTGAAGACGAAAGGGCCGCCAGCCCAGTCGCAAAAGGCAGCCGGGGCAAAAAGACCCCAGTGCAAACGGAGAATATCGATTTAAATACACTTTTAAAATTTATAAAGCCCTATGATGGGAATAGGGAAACTTTAAATTCATTTGTAATTAATTGCAACAATGCATATGAGCTCGCGAACAACTCGCAGAAATCCATATTATTTAAATATATACTATGTCAATTACAGGGAAAAGCTGAAGTTGCTTGTTCAATAAAAGAATTTCTAAATTGGGAACAATTAAAAGAATTTTTGAAAAATCAATTTAGTGAAAGGAAACATTATTCCCACCTTTTAATGGAATTACAGGAAAGCAAACAGCTTATCTCTGAAAATGTCTCTCAATTTTCATTAAGAATAGAAACAATACTGTCTCAGATCCTCACAGAAATATCGTTGTCAAATACTAAAGTCAAAGAACTCCCCGGGAGAATAGCCGCTATGGAAGAACTAGCCCTCCACCAATTTCTAACAGGATTACAACCACGCATTTCAAACATAACTCGATGTAGATCACCGAGGTCGCTTAACGAAGCGATAAATTTTGCAATATCAGAAGAGCGTATCCAACAAACCCTGTATAAAAGAAACGTCCCCGAAAATAGGCGCGATAATCGTCCAATAAGAACGACAAACCCCACGAGACCGTTTCAGTCAGGAAGGCCACCTGTGCCTACAACTACCTTTTATCCTAACGTGCTAACGTGCCGCTATTGCAAGGCCCCTGGCCATTCAATTGAACAATGCCGAAAAAGAGAATACAATAATAAGCTTCGAAACTCTCAACGGCCCTCTAACTCCGCGCCTATCCGCCATGTTAACTTCAACGAATCAACATCTCAAGGATACGACGAAATCGATAATCAAAATCAAAATTTAAACTAACATCCGTCTCGTTCAGGTGTCGCGCGAGACGCCATGTTAATATAGGCACCAAACCCACTGAATCGAATACTATATCCACTGAATCCACTGAATCGAATGCTACATCCACTGAATCCACTGAATCGAATGCTACATCCACTGAATCCACTGAATCGAATGCTACACCCACTGAATCCACTGAATCGAATACTACATCCACTGAATCCACTGAATCAAATACTATTCCCGCTGAATCTTGTACAAAAGCTACTAAATCCAACACCGAGCCTCTACAAAATAACGAAACTATTTATACAATATCTTTTGATCCATCGAAGAAATCGTTACCCCATATTGTTGTTAATACAAACGTTTCCAGCTTCCCCTTATCATTGTTGGTAGACACGGGTTCCTCAATCAGCCTGCTGAAAAATGCCGTAATGGAATCAAAATTACCAATTAACAAAGAAATTTTAAAGCTGAAAGGTTTCAGTACTAGTGAAGACGTCGTCCCCACTCTCGGCTCTTTTGATCTCAAAATGTATCCTGACGACAAATCTAAAGTCTTTCTGAAACATAAATTTCACATCGTTAAAAACGTTGACTTACCTTACGATGGCATCGTTGGAAACGACTTCTTAATTAAAATGAATGGTAAAATCGATTATACCTATGAAATGCTAAAAGTCAACAATTCAAACATTCAACTATTCTTCACAGAGCCATACTTCGTAATACCAGCACGCACTGAAAAAGTAGTAGAGTGCTCCGTTTTAAATTCTGGTATAACAGAAGGCTTAATTCTCGATCAAAACCCTTCGGAAGACCTCTTAATTGCTAATTGTCTCGTTCGTGTGAAAGAAAACAACAAAGTCAATATAACAGTCGTAAATGTTTCCGAATCCCCTATAAACTTGAAAGTAAACCTCGATTTAAAACTCACCCCTGTGGACACAACCTATCAAGAACCCTCAGAGAAACCTACCTTTATTAACTTCTCTAAACCTCAAAGAAAAAATATCGATTCCGCTGCGAGAACCCGATTAGTGTTGAACTTGTTAAGAATAGACCATTTAAACGGCGAAGAAATTGAAGCCCTCTTTCAAGTCTGCTCAGACTATTCTGATATATTTCATCTCCCCGGTGAGAAACTGTCACATACCAACGCCATTAGTCATGACATCAAAACCACTTCCGAAGAACCCATACACTCTAAGACCTATCGGTTCCCAGAGATTCATAAAAAGGAAGTCAATAAGCAGATAGATCAGATGCTCGAACAAGGCATTATCGAACCTTCTGTGTCTCCCTGGTCTTCACCCATATGGGTTGTACCAAAAAAACTCGACGCATCCGGCCAACAGAAATGGCGTGTCGTAATTGACTACAGAAAACTAAACGACATCACAATCGGTGATACCTACCCTATACCCCAGATCACCGAAATCTTAGATCAACTTGGTAACAGCAAGTACTTCTCAACCCTGGACTTGGCGTCTGGATTCCATCAAATCCCTGTAAATAATCCAGAGAAAACAGCTTTCACGGTGCCTCAAGGCCATTACCAGTTCACCCGAATGCCCTTCGGACTTAAAAATGCACCTTCCACCTTCCAAAGACTAATGAATACGACTCTATCCGGCCTACAAGGCATTCGCTGCTTCGTGTACCTAGATGATGTGGTCACATATTCCTTTGATCTTCCTTCTATGGTTCAGAACCTAAGAATGATATTCCAAAGACTCAGAGAGTTCAACCTCAAACTACAACCTGATAAATGCGAATTTTTAAGGCGCGAAGTTGCCTATCTCGGTCATACTATATCCTCCGATGGAGTAAAACCTAATCCAGATAAGATCAAAGCAGTTGTCCACTTCCCAACTCCAAAATCAGCAAAGGATATAAAATCCTTCCTCGGTCTCGTCTCCTATTATCGCAGATTCATATCAGACTTTTCAAAGATTGCCAAACCTCTTACACTTCTCCTAAAAAAGGACACCCAATTTAATTGGGAAAATCAACAACAAGTCGCTTTCGATACTTTAAAACAGAAACTAACCACTGCTCCTCTCCTCTGTTACCCTGACTTCACAAAACCTTTTATACTTACCTGTGATGCTTCCAATCACGCCATTGGAGCTGTCCTATCCCAAGGTCCCATTGGTAAAGATCGCCCTGTCGCATACGCATCTCGAACCCTAAATAAAAGCGAAATAAACTATAGTACTACCGAGAAAGAACTTCTTGCAATCATCTTCGGTTGTAAAACCTTCCGACCATATCTATATGGTCGAAAATTCCAAATTATCACAGATCATCGACCCCTAAAGTGGCTCTTCAACCATAAAGACCCAAGCAGTAAAATGCAACGTTGGCGACTCAAACTCGAAGAATACGAATACGAAATCGTATATCGAAAAGGTAGACTAAATTCAGCTGCTGATGCTTTATCTCGTTACCCTGTGAACCCGCTATTACCACACCATGACGAGAACCAATCTGCCAATCCTGATCCACCTGAAGCACAACCTGAAAGAGGAAATGAAGACCTTCCATTTAGCCCCATTACACTTGACGATTTTGGAGTCCGAATTCCTACGACCCCAGACTATGACAGCAGTAGCTTACCTTGCATAGACTTACTTGATGACGATTATGACTTCCCGTTCAACTATAGTCCTACTAACCCCGATACAAATAAAGACTTACCTTTACAACCTCCACCGAATCCTGTAGAACCGCCTACACAACCTCCAACAAATCCTGAAATACAAAATCAACAACTCTCACCGAACCTCGAAAACTTACCTCCATCATCACCTGCTCCAGGCGATTCAAATCCCTCTGCGTCACCATCTAGCTCCAACCACGATGACTATTCGAAATTCCTGAAAGAAACCAACGATAAAACAAAAAACTTCAATACAACAATTACAAAACATAACCTATCTCTGCTAAAAAGTCACTGCAAAACCGTTCTCATCCCGACAGCTATTGACTTGGACGAATCAAATCCATACATCCCCGAACTCCTAGAAAGAATAACTAATCCCGATGAAACACGATATAAAGAAAAACAGCTATATTCATTTGAAAAGGTCAACGATAGTAATAAAGACACTTACCTCCTTTTCACAAAGGTGCATCACTTTGACGAGAGCACCTATCCTGAGATCTTCCAAACTCTGAAAACGATAAAAAACCATTTGATATCAAATAAAGAAATTACCGACATCGCTATATCAGATTTTAAAAACCCTTTCGAGAAACTTTCATTCGCCAAAATATACAACATGCTTGTATATCTATTCAATGACACAAACATACAAATAAACATATACCACAATAGCATAACTTACCCAACTCTCGCCGAGATAAAGAAGATTCTTAGAGAAAATCATGACATTCCAATCGCAGGTCACCTAGGCAGCAACAGAATGCTGAACCGCATAAAGGAAAAGTATTATTGGAAAGGCATGAAAACAGATATAGAAAACTATATCAAAGCCTGCTCTCTATGTCAGGAAAACAAAGCCCTCCGGCGCATCAACCGTGCACCTATGCAAATTACCAGTTCCTCTACTAGTCCATTTCAAAGAGTAGCATTAGACATCGTAGGTCCCCTGCCCGAGTCGGACCCCGCTAAACTCAAATACATCCTAACGCTTCAGGACGACTTAACCAAATTCTCCGTGGCATATCCTCTACGTAGTGTATCATCAGAAGAAACCACTGATTGCCTCGTTCACTTCATATCCCTGTTCGGGATACCTCATACTATTCTCACCGATCAAGGTACCAACTTCACAGCCGACCTTTTTAAGAAAACTTGTACCTTCCTGAAGATCAAACAGCTGTGGTCCACACCTTATCACCCTCAAACGCAAGGGGCCCTCGAAAGAAGCCACTCAACTCTTAAAGAGTATCTCAAGTCATACGTTAACGAGAACCAAGATGATTGGCCCCGTTACGTATACACAGCCATTCTCGCATACAATACAGCTACTCACAGTACCACAAAATTCACTCCGTATGAGTTACTATTCGGCCATAAAGCCTTCATTCCTGACTCGGTCTATAGCCAAGACCTTACGACTTACCCCGACTACATCAGAATGCTACAACATCGATTGAAACTATCCTGGGAAAAAGCCTTTGAAAACATACAAAATTCAAAGGAAAGATCAAAAAACTATTACGATTCCAAAACCAAACCTATTAAATATAAAGTAGGCGACTATGTATACCTAAGAAACCATTTAAGACTCCGTAAAGCCCTTTCTCCAATATGGAAGGGCCCATACAAAATCTTAGCTGTTCATAGCAATAACAACGTGACGTTACTCATAAACCGACGGCACGTCAGACACCACATTGACGAAGTAAAACTGGCTGGAGTATTTCCCAGCTCCCCGTAGTCGTAGAAATCTTTAAATTTTATCTGTAATCTTAATATGTTAATTTTAATATTTTACTTAATTTTATATTTTCCTCTTTTATCGTTATTAATTAAATTTTACTATTATTTTTTTAAATAAGTCAATTAATTTTATATCGCATTTCTTATTTCCTTAAAACTATTTTAGACAAGTAGATAGTGATTTAAATAATAAACCACAATATTATAATTGGTTCCAGTGTAGCAACCTCAACGGCATCGAGCCTAATTGAACACATCACGTCAAGCCCTGGTATCTATTTTGATTTTATTGGCAGAGCCAAGGCTATAAACGGCCATCTTAGAGTAGTTATCCCTATAGACATATCTTATGTAGAACCACACCTTGCTAACATCAATTCTATTTTAAGCACCACTCGATATTTTTGTCAGTAATCTGAGATCATTGAAAAAACACAATGTAGGAATCTTCTCTCCCCACTCGATACGCGATATAAAGATTTAATCCAGGTATATTCTTCTTTCGCCCATTTAATTGACAATAAGGTTAAACGTGGGGCATGGTTCGGAGGAATCGGTAGCGCCTTCAGACAAATATTCGGAACACTGGATGAGGATGACGCCATTAAATATGATAATGCCATTAACAATATCCAAATTGACTAAAAGAGGGTGGCCTCTATTATGAAGGACCATATTATGGTCACAAGATCGACTCTTTACCGACATAACGAAACATTATACAAATTAAAGCTTAATGAAGAAAACCTTAACATCGCAATAGATAAATTAACTGCACTATTCGAATATTCCAATTTAACCAATAACTTATCAATTAATACGGAATTAAATATACTTTTGAATTACCTCGAAACAGCGATGCTTTCATTATCATTCCAATTAGAAGATATTACCAATGCAATTCTACTAAGTCATGTAAGCGTCATCCATCCATCCATCCATAATTACACCCAAGGAATTGTATTTAGAATTAACAGATAATGTGAAATATATACCAGACGATCTGGAATTAGCCGTTAAGTTAGATTTAAGCCTTATCCATTTAATTATGAACATTTCTAAATTAACTTGTTTTTATATTAATAAGAAAATCATGTTTATACTAACAATCCCTCTTACTAACTCGTTAGAATTTTATTTATATAACAATATTCCTTTGCCAATTCCTCATAATGTGTCGAATCCAAACTCCTTCAGTGTGATAATCCCATCTAGTAAATATATAGATATAACAAAAGATAAAACTCACTACACAACTATAAATGATCTAGAAAATTGTAAGAATATCAATTATCAAAACTACCTATGTAAAATCATGAACATATTTCCAACATCTGCCAACCCTAACTGTGAAAGTGAACTATTATCAAAAATTGTTACAAACCTTCCAGTGTATTGTAAAACAGAATTTGTAAATGGTGAACTAGATGTATGGAAACCATTACGGAATAATAGGTGGATATTTGTACAATCCAAATCTAGTAAACTAACTATAGATTGTCGCCATACCCAACCGAATGATCTAAAAATATTGGGCACTGGAATTATTACTATTCCCACTTATTGTAAAGCTTATTGTAGAAGCACCAAGCTTTTACCTGATTACAATGTTTTAAATATTACGCTACCTGTACTAAGTATAGATTTTAATTTGGTAAATGACTCCTGTTGTAACATAGATAGATTTAAGGAAATCAAGGATAGTGTTCCCATAGTGAAATTAAATAACATCGAATCAGAAACTCTAGATTTCCCACAAGGTTTAAATGAAAAAACCATAAACGATCTTAATGAGATTATCAATAAACCTCACTTCATAAAATATGGGACACACTATTCCACACTAATTATATTTTTATTAATAATTGTAATTTCATTTTGTTTGTATAAATTATATAAGAAAATAAAAAGAACTAGCAGCCCTCACGAACAATTAGAAATCGTTATGCCTTTAAAGGAATTGAGGAAAAATAAAGAAAATCAAACTATAGAATCAACATCCTTAGAATTAGAATCTGAAAAGACAAAAATCGCGGCCTCTCCTAAAATTCGTAGTAAAATATAAATCTTACATAAAAAATAGAATATTAATATCATAAATAAATTAGACACTTTACCTTTAGAATCATTCATAAACTTCAGAGTATTAACCCTAAAGTTTATTCTTAATGGGGGGAGGTGTTACATCCCTTAGATGTATACTAAAGTGCATACAACCCCAATAAATCACCGCGTCTGCATTTTCGCCCTGTAGCCGGCGCGCCCGCATCCCGAGCGCGCCAGTCTCATTCTAACCTCCGTGACCGCTGCTAGTTCCACTGGTTCATACTATTTCGTCGTTTTATTTGTATTTTAATTTTTTTTAAACCCTAACGGAGAGGCTCACTCTAACAGTGTCATCTTTTTTTAATTTATATTATATAGTCTTTAATAAAACATAACATTTTCCAACTGACAAGTAACAACTGAACTTTATTCTTTAAATGATACAGAGAATGAGCAGCTAGAGGCTTTTACACGTTCCATCGACATATGGCATTACACGTATCTCACAAGCTATATTTTAATACATTTCGACACATTCTGTCACACTTAATTATTAACCGCTCGGTGCGGGATTGTCTAATTCATTTGCATTATAATAATCATATATTTGCCTAAAACACGGTTTAAAGTTGTCTCAAAATTAATAATGTCCACATGTTTTGCTATTACATAACAGCATGCAATGGAAATTTTTCCAAAGGTTAACAGGGAAAGAAAGCTATTAGTATTAAGTACGCATTTTGTACTATGTTTGATTGGTCAATAAAGCTTGATAAATATATAAACTTTTGGTCTTTGTAAAAATAAATAAATAAATGCGCTCTTAAAAATGTCCTGGCCCGGCCGTTACTGTGTCCCTCCAGGGTCTGCACAATGTGCCTGGTTTTGCAGGGCACTGTATTGTAATAATGTAATTGGAACATGTGAGCAGACATCGAGCCCGAGTTCAAGCGGTCGCTGCAGCAGCTGGTGCCGATGCTGCTGGCGCCGCAGAACCTCGTGCCGAAGCTGATCAATGGACAGCGAGTGAGGGCGAGGGATCTACTACAGTACTTCAAGTCCTACATGAACATATACAGAGGCAACGAGCTGCCAGAACCCAAGAGTATGCTAGTCGTGAGTGATCGATCATTTATAACACGCCACATATTTAACTAAATAATAATAATGTACATACAATATTATTTTTAATCTTTTGTTATTTAGTTATCAACATTTTGATTTGGCCAGGTACATCAAAAATAAATTGGTGAATAATTGAAATTGAAAATTATGATCTGACCTCGATTCTTGAGCGTTTTTTGTGAGGTCATTATAATACTTATTATGGAACTATAGTTTTATAATAAATTAATAATTAATTTAATAATATTTAAGTAACTATAACTAAAATTATTGAAAAAAATGTTGTATAAGAATCTAAATAATATCCTCTAATATCTATAATATAATATACTTAGGCTTTTGATAATGTAGATCGTGAAATACTTAAATAGTTACAGCAAAATCAATCAATAAACCCACACATATTAAAAAAGAGTTTAGCTGTATGTAAGTATGTCTGAAAGGCAAAACTGAATAAAAATTTAATTCAGATCTTCAGATTGTTTGTAAAGGAGTGCTCCCAGGTATCAGGGCTAGGGCCACTTTTATATCTTATTTATATAAATTAATTCCCCTGACATAATCTTATTTGACCGGTGTATTGCTTATAAACTTAGGTTCTGGCAACGCACTTCATCGTCCTTAAATGATACACAATTAATAAAAAAAAACTTCTTTGAACTCGAAACCAAAGTATTTTATTGACCTCAGATCCCAAGCTGTTCGTTGATGCCTGAGGATCACTTTGAACTCCGATTCAAAAATTCAATAACCTGAAGGCCGATACATTTCATTAATCTTACGTTTCATTAACAGTTCAATGATTCAACGCATGACGTGTCTGTCTAAATTTTAATCGTTTAATGAAAACATTTTGTGACTTCAGGCGACAGCAGAAGCGAACAATCTAACGGCAGTCGCGGAAGCCAAGGACGTCTACACCACCCTAATGGAGGAGGTGTGCGGGGGGGCGAAGCCCTATCTTCAGGGTCAGCTGCTAGAAGCGGAACACGGCCGGGCCAGAGATAAAGCGCTCCACGCTTTCCACTCGAAAAGAAAAATGGGCGGCGAAGAATTCTCACAGACCTACTGCGAACAACTATCGCAGGTATATACCAAGAAACACAACGTGAACTTTAAAAGAAAAGCGATATACTGAGTGTCGTTAATTCAAACGTTAACCAATCAGAATAGAACCCGAGGCTCAAATAATGTGACATTCGCATCGCGCGTGTGCAGGACCTGGAGGATCAGTTCCAGCAGTTCCGCGCGCACAACGAGAGCAAGAACATCTTCAAGGCGGCGCGCACGCCCAGCGTGTTCCTGGCGGTGGCCCTGGCGCTGTACGTGGCGTCCGGCGTGCTCGGCCTCGTGGGGCTCTACCCGCTCGCCAACCTCGCCAACCTGCTCATGGGCCTCGCGCTCCTCACGCTCGTGCTCTGGGCCTACATCAGGTGCGTGTACCCTCCCTCCCTCCCTATACTCGGCCTCGTGGGGCTCTACCCGCTCGCCAACCTCGCCAACCTGCTCATGGGCCTCGCGCTCCTCACGCTCGTGCTCTGGGCCTACATCAGGTGCGTGTACCCTCCCTCCCTCCCTATACTCGGCCTCGTGGGGCTATACCCGCTCGCCAACCTCGCCAACCTGCTCATGGGCCGATCATTCAATCAAGCTCAAGCAATTATTTGAATGGATGCGTAAACTATATTGATATATCTTATTTTTTTATCTTCAGGTACAGCGGTGAAATGCGAGAACTGGGCGTGACTATAGACGAAGTGGCCAACTGTTTGTGGGATAATGTGAGTGCTGATAGTGCATATTTATTATCCAAGATAAAATTTGCCTCTTATACCCTCCTTTATTTGGTGATAATATCCACGTGGATACCGCTCCACTTTAACTTTTTATATCATCGTGCATCGTTTATATAAACTTACTCTATATACATCTGTATCGTGTGCAGGTAATGAAACCTGTGTACCAATCTTGCTTGGAGAAAGGCATGGAGCACGCGGCGAACGCGGCGGCGGAACGTGTGGCGCCCGCGCGCTCCAACGGGAAACTGAAGGGGTTGTGATGCCCCACACGCGCCCGCACCAGGATCACGACGCTCCTCACTTAAACCCGATACCCATGACACATTAGTGGAACGAGAAATTACCTGAAACCACATATGAACAACTTTTCAGTGAAACGGAGACATGCTTAAAACCTATAGAGCTGATCGAGCTGACTAATATTGTGGTGAAATACTAATAAGCCGGTTCGAATTGTTGAGAATGAATCTCAACAATCGAGTGAGTTTTAAAAAATTTGGAGAATGTGATGTCCTTGTGATGTTAATGAAAAAATATTGTATAAATATAGATTAGAAAGGATATAGCAGGCTTTGCGCATCTTTTCTAGTCTACGATGATATTAAAACCTCGAACGTTTGATATTCTAACAAGAGTTTAAAGTGTCGTGTGTGCATCATCGTTGTTTGGAGTGTGGAGCTATCGGTGAGTGTTATCTAAATGGCCATGTGAATGTTCTGGTGATGGATAGTACGGTTGTTAGACCGTTACATAGTGAAATTGAGACTTAGTGCTAGTGTAGTGAAATTGTGTCGCTCGGTTAATCTGCATATAAAAATGTTTATTTTTTTACACAATATACTGGATTGTTCTTCTTTTCTCATATCCTTAACATTTGTAGATAGTATCCATGTAAATAAATGTTTATCTGACAGATTAGCTGATCGATACTGGTGTAGTAATTATCAAAATTATGGTGAGATGATGCTATAAGTAAGACTTTAGATATAGTAGAATAGTAGGCACAAAATAACAGACTCGTTAAAAACAGTAACTGCTACTGAAGGCAGTCTCACTCTGTATCGCACCTGAGTTGTACTTAATGGACAGACAAATTTTAATATTAGACATACAGCCGATATTGTACTCTGCAGTAGCAATAATTAGGCTTAATTTGTGTCACTTGTAACTTTAGATTTTGTGGTGTGTTATTATTATCCTGTTTAAATTCTAATGGGTTACAGTTCTCGGTATGTTTTTTTTTTAATAGATACTTTTAGTGAAACTATTAGGCTTCTTAATTAAGGGTAAATATCTAAAACAAATTTAATACTTTGTAAATATTAAAGACGCGATTTTGATAACAAAAAATGAATATTTTATAAAATCCCATATATTATAATGTGCCAAACCAGCTCAGTAGCAATTGTATCAAAATCATTTGTTGTACATTTTCAGAGTTTATATTGTTATTTAGCTCAATAGGAGGAGCACATGGCTTGCGACATCATGGCTGAGACCTTCTTGCCACACACCTAAAGTATTAAATTCAACAAGTTCACAAAATATGGTTGTGATGAGAGCCGCATGTTGATATTATGTTGTGCTGGTTTATATGGCCGATACACAACTGGCGTTGCAGCTTAACGACGCATGTCATTATTGCTCTTTATGTTTAACTGGACCTTTTGTGGCCACAGGAGGCCACACAGGTTTTTTTATTGACAAGAGTCATTTGGTATGAAACTGTTTTTGATATCTTCTCTAACCAGTTACATAAAAGCCTAATGGAAAGAAACAACTAGTTAATCATTCTAAATGCAAAGAGAATAATTTACATTTTAAAATATAAAGTACATAAAAATACATTCGAGAAATTAAAATAACAGAAATTGTACAAATAAGTAATACACAAAGTGCTTGGGAAGCTGCAAACGCCGATTTTAAGATAGTGTATAATGTAAATCACATGCTTATAATTTTTGTGGTCAGTCGGACTAAACAATTACATATCTATTTCATTGTATCAATATCACTATAAAAAAAATCTAGTTGTAAATAAAACTATTTTGTAAATAAAAGCCAATAGTGCCTGTATTTTAACTTCCAATATTAACAATTGAATAGTACATAAATTAAAAGTAACAAGAAGAATAATCTCCTTTCGGTAACTAGTTGTGCCAAATTATTTGATTCACACATTTTTTAATATTTTTACTTTGGCTTTTTAAACTGTAGTGTTATTATTAGAAGCTAGTCATCTTTGACTGTTTCATGATAAAGTATATATATTTTTATTGATCACTAATTATGAAATATAGAGAATATGTCGATTTATATGTTATTGTTAGTTAATATTTGTTATAGAATTGTTATGGGGATGAAGAGTTTTGTTTGTAAAACAATCATGGCGGATGTGTGTATAGTAGCGTACGTTAAATGAATAGATTGTTGTTTACTTACCAATTTATTTGTAAACTTTTGCTTAGAATCCAATGGGCGAGTGACGATAAGACGATTCACTTTTACTTGGTTCAAATTATGTAGTAAACAAAGTGAGATCAGTTGATCGATAAATCGAATAAAAAATGAATAATCTAATTTTGCGAGTTTCTTTCGATTCGATTAGTAATATAGTCGGATTCGACAACGGTTTTTTCATTGTAGCAACATTTACAAATGAATTGTTTCTTTAACTAATGAATATTACTTCGCTATTTTTTAATGGACGCAAGACGTTGAATGTTCTGGGGATACTTCTCCTCTTAAAAGCAATTTTCGATACATGAATTTTATCGTACTTTCCTGCTCTACCCCATAAAAAAATGGTGAATTGAAGCAGGACAGACTGTGGTGAAAACAGTCCACGATATAACGAATGTCGAGTACAAAGCTTGAGGTGTGCAGGCGCACGCTAGGGCTTCATATATGGGTATAGGGCGGAGTTATTGGTCGCACCTAATTTCACGTGGCGTTTGCTCAATTTTTCACTTAGATTTAAGTTCTATATCGCTGACTATGTGACAATGATCTGTTGATTTTACTGTTTTTTTTTTAAGTACATGAAGCGGTAAGGTATTTTTGTGGCTCAATACCGGTTGTCTATATTATAACTAATTGACAATAAATCAAAGTTTCTCACTACTAACTTCTTTTTAATTTCATTCATTTTGTATGCTTCGTTAATATCATTGTATAGTTTTTTTTATTTATTTTTTATTACACATAAACAATTATTACGTACTATATGAAAATGTGTTGTCTTTTTGCTAAAGTTAGTAGCCATTACCGTCTTATTCTGATATAAAAATAATAATTGAAAAAATTATTTAAACCTTTGTATTTTTCACAGTAAAAGTCAGTTTTGTTACTATTACGCATGTCCAATGTTGAAACCTTAATATTTATTTGTAATTTTAATGGGAGTAATTCATGCCCCGAGGGGATTTTCTTTTAAAATTCAATGTATTTGTTTTGATTGAACAGTAAAGTCGAGAGTTTTGTAAATTATAACAATATTAAAAATTACTGTGTTACAAATAGTTTGTCGAGTTTCAATTCAAAAACTTCTTTTAATTCTCCAGTAAAGTAACTGTAAGGACATAAATATAGGATCGAATAAAATATATAAATTAATGCTTTTTTTGCATCGAATGGGCTCTAAGACTACTGGACTGATTTTAAATTTTCATTCACCTACGAGTAGTTACATCATACGGAGTTGACATAGGCTGTAGTTTATGCGTGCGAAGGTGCTGTAGACTATAAAGTTTAATGAAATTAAGCAAATCTAAAAACACTAGATAGGCAATAGGTAGATCGGCGGTCATGTCAACCGTCATACAGTTGATGTCTTCGTATCAATTAATTAATAAAATTAGTCTTTTTGTATTTATTGACGCTTAGATTTATTGAACAACGAACTGACAACGAACAGATCAGAAGATCTATTTTTAAATTAATTTCTAACTGACGGTCTAACTACGATACTTTCAACCATATTTTTTAAGCATAATTAGGTGGTATACGCTAAAACTATGACTTCCTTTCACTAGCGCTACGAGAGCAAAAGCGGACGTCGATACATGTTGTTTCTAATAAAAAGTCTGACATTATAAAAATATAATATTTTATTATTAAAAATATAATTATGATTGACTTAGAATATTAACACTTAAAGCATAATAAATTAACACTATCATTGTTTTAAACAACTATATCAATATATGTATTTCACTATTGTGATGTTAGTAGATTCATTGTAGAGTTGAAATTTAACAACTACATACAGAAAGCACATAAGTAGGCACAAATCAGGAGGAACCTAATCTATTCCTTTTCGATTAGTGTTATTTTATATTATAAACAAGGACAGATATTGGACAGGTTGTCGCTTAAAACTATATTGAGCTCCATATCATAAAATTTTCCCACGTTACTATCAGAAGTGTAACTTATAAAATGCAGTCACTGCATATTTACGGTAATGTGACCTTAAAATTGATCGAAGATATTTTTTATAATCTGAAGTTTTGCATGTTGTCAACAAATAAGACTTGTATAACGCTTGGCTGTCACTTAAATAATACAAACATACCCGTATTATTTGACGATCTTTGTATGACGCAGATAAGTTTAATCGTCTACCTACATCATGGCATCTTGCGTAACGATTGAATGTCAAAGGTATCTTGATTGTTTTATTCATAGCTAAAATATGAGGCTCTCGGCCAGTTGCACTCGGTTATTAGTTAGGGTTTAATGAGGCCATTAAGCTCTAATGAATGTCTAAGGAGAATGAGCAATTTACTATGAGAATTCGGCTATTTTTGCATAACTGTGCACCTTGTGGAAACTAACGGTAAACGATTGAGAATTATTTCTAGAATGAGTAGGAAAAAATTTATGCCGGAGTTGAAGAATATCTGAATATTTAACAGGGATTTTAAGGTTATGTAGTTATTAAATAATTGATGACTAACAGATAGAAATATTTAATTGCGAAAAAGTACATACCTATATTATAAAATAAAAAGCTTTTTTTTTATTGTAAAGGATAAACTCAAACACTACTGGGTCGATTTAAAAAAATCTTTGACCAATATAATATTTGACCAACATTTTCAGAGTTAAAATACTTTATTTTATAAAATTTGTAGTAGGTCGCATGTCAAGTCGATTAATAACTTGAAACTTAGTAAGTAGTCGAAGTTATATAGCAATTGCGTTAATAGAGTTATTTTAAATGCCGCATAATTTTTAAAATAGTATTTGTATAGAATAAATTATAATTTCAGAGAAGATTTTTGATAAATAAATGCGTAGTGAGCAATTTTGCGTAATTTTAGCCGTTTTTTGCCCAATCTCCTTTGTAAGGGTAATGTCGCTTTAAAGGCTGACTCAATCACCATTAAAACCATCTCAGTATGTACGAATTTTTTAAATTACGTTTAACGATTCGCAAATATTCAAACTATGGTATTAAGAATAGTATGTCACTCAGCAGTCGGCATAATACTATTCCAATTAATGGACATCTTGGTCGTTCCCTAGTACTTTACATAAGTATATATTTGATAAACTGAAGTTTATGCGAGGTGGTGGGTTACATAGTGAACAGAACGATACGGGCATCGAACGTAAAAGGACTCTGATGAAGGTAGATAGATATATCTATCTACGACACCCGCCCACAAAAACTTTAGTTACGCTGATCATGGCGATTGTAACAGCGCTGGAATATCATCATCATCATCATCATCAGCCCTTTTACGTCCCCACTGCAGGGGCTCAGGCCTTCCTTATGGATGGTTAAGGAGGATGGGCCATGACCCTCCACGCTGGCCCAATGCGGATTGGAGGGTATTAACGACTGCAAATGCAGCCGGAACCAACGGCTTAACGTGCCTTCCGAATCCTGGAGTAGCTCGAGATAATAATTTTTTAGTCACCCATCCCGTGACCGACCCTTGCGAAAGTTGCTTAACGACTACGATCGCGGGCCGCAGCGCTTATCCACTACGCCACCGAGCTACTCTGGAGCTGGAATATCATACACTAAACGAATAATATAATAAACAATCGTTCTAAAGTAAATGACCATAATGGGAGCTTAAAACAATATATCACTTTACATATGTTTTAAAATTACAAGCTGTGGTAAATTATGGTATAACTAGTGCTACGATCGCTTCTTGTCGTCGTCGCTCTGATGGGGGACGGCAGACTGCCAAGCCTGCCGCATCATCTGATGAACAACGTGATAAAACAAATGTTATTACAAATAGAACACAGAAAATATGCATACAATGTGCGTTTGTATGTAACGAAATGGTTATAATTTGTGCCAGTAGGTACCCATCACCTTTTAAAGTAAGTTATTTGCTACAATTTTATACTATAGGCTCCTTTTTGTTATTTTAAAATTATTTGCAACAATAACGTAATCTGTTACATATTACACTAGTGTAGTCTTTGTTACTCTATGTTACGAACGGAGCATTATTTGTTGTTAGGTGTTTTCGTCTGTTTGTTTTGCATTATTGAACTAACATTTAATAAAACTTACGTAGTCTTTGATGGTGGCCGCAGTTTCATCAACTCGTATCGCGAAGTCCCTCAGTCTACCAGTGATTCTGAAACGTTAAGTTATTTATTTATTTAGTTATTTCAGTTTATTGATTAATGTAAAAATACAAATATTATAAGACTGGGAGAAAGGAAATATAAAGTAGGGGGATAAATATCTACGTCTATATGCCATATCCCGGAAGAAGGAGGTAGAGGAAACTCGTGTACCGCAAGGTGGTTCCGTGTGACCGATTATTGTGGGTTCCATTTTGATATATAATCTAATAATCGGGGCATGAAATTACTCAGTAAAACTGCTGATCTCACTTTATATCTATTCATATACTGTTATCTTCATTCACGTTAACACGCGACCAATTTGGCGAAATTAAAATTTTGTAAAATTTGTATCGGATTTCATCATATATTACATTACCATGGTGATGTTAATATGTATGGGGGAAGGATTTCGTCGGAAGCGGTATGAGAGGGGCGGGGGGCGTGTACCTGCTGTAGGCCCACACGGCCAGCATGGCGGCCGCGGTGATGGCGAGCACCTGGCCCAGCGCCACGGCCGTTTGCAGCCCGACGCTGCTGCCCACGCTGGACACCAGATAGCCCAGCAGAGCCAGAATCGTCAGAACTATCGGGGTGCCAGCCATCTTGAATATGTTCTTGCCCTCGTTGTGGGCGGCCAGCTGCTCGTATTGCTCTTCTAATTCCTACCGGAGCATATCGTAAACATAGGTGAAAAATAGGTATATGGTGTGAAATGGGTACCTTTAAAACGATCGTGTTACATATTTACGGTAATATTCTTTGGAGATTTCCTAATACAGGTTTATATAAATTTACAGAGAATCTCACCACAACTTATAAGCAAATGTTTTTTTTAGTAATTAAACGTAAAGCATTGTCTTTTTTTTATTATTGAATATACCTAAATCGGCGGCGTCGTTCTCGAACCGAGGGAGCGTGTACAGTGGACACGTACCTGAATGAGTCGCTGCGTGTACTCATGCTCGAGCTGCTCGCCGCCCATCTTCTTGCGCGCGTGGAAGGCGTGCAGCGCCTTGTCGCGGGCGCGCTCGTGCTCGCGGCGCATGTGTGGCGGCGGCAGGTAGGGTCGCGTGCCGCCGCACACCTCCTCCATCAGCGCGGCGTACACCTCGCGCGCCTCCGCCACCGCCGACAGATTGTTGGCCTCCGCCGTCGCCTGACCGAGTAGCGTTATAATATATTATCTATCTATAACGTACAACGTTTATCGCTAGTGCTGCAATTTTGAACAATGATGTCATTAAAAATCTCGGTGTAGCTCGGTAGTAACTCGGTGGCGTAGTGGATAAGCGCCGCGGCCCGCGATCGTAGTCGTTAAGCAACTTTCGCAAGGGTCGGTCACGGGATGACTGACCATGAAAATATTGTCTCGAGCTACTCCGTGTTTCGGAAGGTACGTTAAGCCGTTGGTCCCGGCTGCATTTGCAGGACGTTAATACCCTCCAATCCGCATTGGGCCAGCGTGGAGAGTCATGGCCCATCCTCCTTAACCATCCATAAGGAAGGCCTGAGCCCCTGCAGTGGGGACGTAAAAGGGCTGATGATGATGTCATTAAAAATCCAAATTTTGTATCGATTACAGTCAACTCGCTGATTGATATAGACAGAATATCATATCTGCTTACTCTCTTTCTGTGTAGGTAGAAGGTCAATAGTATTATATTAGTAGGTAGTAGTAACTAATATTTCATCGTATCACAGATATACTTTAGGTCACTTAATTTGCAAGAACAAACCACCACCGTAGGAGTAATAGACAACGAACCTCTAGTATACTCTTGGGCTCTGGCAGATCGGAGCCGTTGAACACGTTCATATATGCCTTAAAATAGAGCAGCAAGTCTTTGGCTTTCACTTTCTGGCCGCCGATCAGCTTCGGTACTAGATTTTCAGGGGTCAGTAACATGTTCACCAGCTGCTTCAGGTAAGTCTTGAATTCTGGACTTATATCTGTAAATTGTGTATATGATGAAGTCCAAAGTATTTTTCACTATCAAAGGGTCGTTGCGAACGTTAAAATTTTTACGTTTAGATTAAAGGTCAATCAATAAAATAAAAATACGATTCTAATATGTAACACATTAGGAAAACCTTCGGGCATTATCTACGCAACAATTAGTCAAGAGTTAAACAGAAATATCTAGCGTTATTTTCGTCGTGTTCTTTTGAATACTAGTGCAATCTCTGCCATCGTTTGTTACATAGCAATCTCGTGTTTACCTACATCAAGTTAAAAAAATATAGAAAGTGGAGAAAAAAACTAGGCAGAGTCTGGAGTAGCCAATGGTGTGTACCGGTGAGTTTCCCGTTAAAGTGTGGGTCCGTGGCGACGGTGAGTCCCGGATGCGGCAGCAGGAAGCATGCGAGCTCCTGGAAGCACGCGGCCACGTGCCGCCGCAGCGTCTGCAGCTCCACGTGCTGCGACTCTTGCACCTGCATCGTAACCACGGCAAATTTCCAAACAATGCACATTTTTTTCCTATATCTTAAAAGATCGGCACCCTGCATGCACTGCTGACGTAGTCAAAATCGACCAATAACAATACACCGTATGGAAGTTTTTACGGGACCATGTTCAGAACAAGAAGTGCCTGTACCTCAAGTCGCTTGACCAGTAGCTGGTGGCCGCCCTCAGCTCCGTACGGGTGCTCGTAGGGGAAGCTCCAGTCCCGCACGAGCAGCTGCAGCCGCTGGAAGGGCTTGCCCATGATACTCTGCTGCGCTAAACGCCCGTACTCGGTGAACAGCTGCGAACAGATAAAGAAACATCGTTCATTTCCATTTACTTTTTGCAAAGAGTACACTCGACGCTGGTTTTGCCCATCAAAACCAAAGTCGAGTGATGCTTTTATTTCGAAATGTCTTCGCTTTAAAATTTACAGTCATAAGTTAACGAACCTGAAGATGTTGCAGGTCGTCCTCCTCGATGTTCTGCGAGAGGTTGTAGATCTGCACAGATGATATCATGGTGGAGAGCGCAAATACTGTCGCGTTGTCGCGCACCGTCGACTCGCTGTCGAACGTACCTTGTGTGTCCATCAGCAGGATCACCACCTGAGTCGTGAAACGTAAACTGTGTAGTACATTAGGTAAAAACTCGCCAAATTGTTGTTAAGAGTTCCATACAAAAATTAAGATTTAAAACTATTGATTTTCCTTTAACCTATCTTCTGTATTTACAAAACTTTCAGACATACCTATACAATTATAACAAAAAAAAAATGCTTTTGAGATTCGCACAATAAAGACCTTCATAGGTTTAATGCGCCATTGAGGGAAATGTGGCTCTCATATTTGAAATTCGTTTATTTATGTCACTCTTTGGGTTACAGGCTTACATAAAAAAAGTAAATTAGGTATAGCAGATCATACATATGAAATAGACATCACATAAGGGTTCCAAAATTTTTATTAACACAATATTAAAACAGCCAGTAACCTTTTCACCGCTGGGTAGCGTGGCGTGGAAGGGCTGCGACCACATCAGCAGGCCGGTGGTGTCTCGCTCGGAGCCGCCGCGCCAACTAAAACCCTCCAGAGGCTCCTCCTCTGAACCCATCCATTCCCCGTCTGTTTCACCGAGGTTATACTGCGGACAAATACTGTACAATTTTATGGAAAAGCGATGAACAGGAGACACACTCTGAACTCTTTGCTACTTAATATTGCAATGTCAAGTGCTCTGTGGTTTCACTCAAAAAATAAGTACCTGTCGAGTTTTTTTTTTATTCATTCCTGTAATATATGGGTACCTTTATATTACAAGATCTATAAGGATTATTATTCTTAATACTAAGAGTTTATTAAATTTATTTTTCTCTTATGTATAGCTACGGCACACGCTTACACACATCTCATAGATTTGTGAGAACTTATTATTCTAATAGTCATCCATCACAGCTAGGATTAAAATAAAAAGGAACCAACCCTGTGATTCAAATATCTGAGGAAGAAGTCTAGAAGAAACGATTTGCCCTTGCGGAATGCGCCTGCGACGGAAATGACTACTACTGCGCGATCTCGTACATCATCCCGCAGCAGTAGCTCCGTAAGAGCCTCCTCGTCAAGCTTGAACCTATGCTCTTCGGGCACTGCCACCTGGATGCCCCGCCTTCAGGCTGCTCGTTTTACCTAAGCAGATTCCAGATATATTTATTTGTATTTGTAACGATCTAAAGATACTCAAATAATTTATGTTTATTTTACTTTTACAAAATATGGAAATATAATCTTGACGACGGTTAAACATCGGTTACGCGACGGTGCTTAAAACTTTGCGGTCCAATCACATTTGTCATATTTAGACGTACCAAATAACGCGTAATTATTGCGTTCTTCTTCAACTTCGCCTTAACTGATGTTAAAATCAAAATGTAAGATCGGTGCGTTAAAATCAGGATGCACGCAAAATGTGTGCGGATGCAATTACTGAAATCACACGCGGCTTATATGTGTTTCAATGTATGTATATTTCTAACGCGCAACATAGTAATTTAAGGAAATAGTGGTTTACAGGCTTTTTTTAAAAAAAAAACAAAGTTAAATCAACAAAAAATTATTCACTCCGTAAAACTTTCGGAAGTTTTGGAAGTTTCCGGTAGGTTTCCTCAGAGAAGGAAAGTTTTAAAGTGATTTATTCCGTTGTATTTATTTATCAGCGCACTCATCTTTTGATAAATAATGTGTTTTTCCCTTTTGTGTGTTCGATAGAGTAAACTGTTTATGGTAACATAGTAACTAAAATTATAATGATCATACGTTAGGAAAAAATACCTACTTGGATAAGCTAAGTAAAAGAAATATTTGATAAACTATAATTAAATATAACAGCGTAAATACGTACCTACGTTCATGTTTAGCATTATTACTTATTCAAGGTTAAAAACGCTGATTTAAAATTATAAACGGTTTTGATAGAATTTTTACTTAGGCAAGTATCCACTCCGCTTTTATATCATTATAGAAACTAGTTATAGTTTGCAACACACCACAACAAACTTGAATCACTCCGTTTAGCATCTGACATGGATCTATAATTAGTCTCGTAAACAACGGGTGAACAATTTAAAAATCCGCGCGACAAAGTATTACCATTTTGAAGAAAAATAAATGTACTTACTCATTTCTTTATTCGTATCGTATGTAATCCTACTTAGTACAATTGTATTGTTGCACTTTACTGTTCATAAAATTATAAAACTAGTGTATCGTGGACCGTTCGGTGCTGCGGTCTGACGGCTTATGAAGAGTGAGGTCATCGTGATGTCATAGCGGCGCGGCTCCACGGCCGCTGATGTCATATGTCTCCTTAATATGTGCACAACTATCATGTCACCGAGATCTAAATGAACTATGTCAATAAAATCCTTTTGAATATGCAATATTGATGAACTAATTTATAAAGAAATATCGTTCCGATAGATATCTCTATGGCGTCATTAGCGAGTTTAGTGTTGAATAATTAGTCATTGAAGGTCTACGAGTTGAGTTTACAGACTGCTCCACTATCAGACTCAAATAGCTGTACCTTATAATTTTAACTGAATTATAAATTACAGAAGCAGGAGAGCTTAGCTAGAGGTTATGTAATGTGCTTCCTATAATCAAATACTTTCACTCAGACGTGAAGGGAAATGGAAACGCACACTGGTGTCTCTGCGGCACGGCAGCACTTAGTGCATACTCGTGCGTGGGGAATCCACTTTCGTTCGCGGCGGACGGACGGACGACACGTTCCACGCGATGCATCAATGAACATATTAATTTGTTATGGTTAATAGAATCGGACGATACTTTACACACTACTTACGATTATAAATGTATCAGGAACGAAAACATACGATCTGTTCACCGTTGTGTTACCTATTATATACATCGTAAATACAATTTAAATTCAGGGTGTTCAATGTCAAAATAATTCTTGAATGGGGCAAGATAATATCAATGAAGCCACGGTTCATGTGAATCGAATCAATTTATGTTAAAAGAGGGATTTTATGATCTATGGCTTATATATGCTAGCAGAAATCTTAATATTTCGATTCAGAACAGACCAAACAATATTATGTTAGACTAATGGGGACATCTAATTACGATTGAAAATAAACAATACTTATAGTTTATTAATAATCATGTTAAGTATACGTATAAAACTAATTTACTTCAATAAGTATGCTAATGCGTTAACAGGGTGAAAGAGATTTATCTACCTAAATACGATTTCTTCGGATACTCGTACTCTGCTGAGAACCGCACTTTCGATGTCGAAATGGTACAGATGAAATTCAAAAGAAATCAATTATCGCCGTTGCCTACATAAGCCTGTCGATTAGGTATTTGTTAACGAAAGGTTTTGGGTGTGTTGAAATAATTTCTTACAGTCAAGAATCATCTGAGGCTCCGGTACTCCTAAGTAGATACTTGTTCAACCAAAAAGCTGCGTCACATTTTTCTATTAAGCGGTGAGAAAAGTAACCAAATGTGGTACAGCATCCCTAGTATGGAAGTTCTGAAATTCCTAAATTATCTTATATATTTAAAAACTTTGTGTCACGATGTATGTTGCCAATAAACTCCAAAACTACTGAACCGATTTAAATAAAATTTCATATGTACCCGTATTTGGGTCTAACTTACTGGAAAGGATATTTATCATCTCAATTATTCGCTTATGTCGTAAATGTAAACGAATAAAATGAACTAATTAATTTCTTGAGTAAGTGTTTATTTACTGTTTAGTTTTATGAAGTTCTCATAGATGGCGGTGTACCGTGGTTCATAGAAAAATTCTTCAATATCGTTTGATATCTAGGTTGCAAATACACTCAATATGACGCTGTGTTCTAGATGGCGTTTATTCTAAAATAATCTGCGGTAACGTTTCTTTCAAAGAATTTTGATAGCGTAGAAAAGGTCGTTAAGTTCTATCTTCAAATAAAAGGTGTTAAAGGACACAAAGCACCATACATCAAAGAAAAAGTGTTGCCAGTTGACACTCAATAGAAAAAGAAATATTCAGTTGAAAAACGCAAGCAAAACTTAAAATAAATTTTGTACAGATACTTAAAATATTTTTTGTCTTTTAGTCTCTCATTGTTATTTATAAGTAAATTACTGTATAGTATTAAAAAACAATCGAACATATATTCTTATTCAATAGTAAGTTAATATTTAGTTAATACAGATATTGAGGTTTTAAGTCCGCCTCTTGTTATGTTGGGTTTACAGTATAAAATTGCCTAGAAAAAGTTAGTAAGTTCTATCTACATAAAAAAAGGGTTGCCAGTTTATACGCAATATAAAAAGAAATATTCAGTTGAAAACGCAAGAAAAACTTAAAATATATGTTGTATAGATAGACTTGTAGTCTTTTATTACTCAATAGAAAATTTCCTATAAATAACAGTATAAAAGAAAACAATTTTCCGGATTTTTTTCATCTGGCAACACTTCAGCTGAGTACATATTTTTTGTTAAAAGTTTTCTTAAAAATGTTACCAAAAACGCCAGCTCTATAAAGTGAAAGTCATGAAAAATGATCAATTTTCTAGATAAAATGGTCGCTGTTTAAGCCGCCATCTTGTATTTTGAAATTTCAACCTCAGACCTATGTAGCCCATCTATTGGCGCATCCAATGCAGTTTCTATTATTTTCCTAGCGGCGATAATGACTGCGCTAGAGTCCAAAACGTGAATAGTGGGCATTAAATCTTCAAACCGCCGTAACTGCCAGGGTTGCCATATGTTGGCGATGAAAATGGTCAAGTGTGATTTCGGGATGTGCCCTCCATCGACGGATACCAATTTTCAAGTTCTAAAAGTATTCCTTTGACAGTTATAGTTTTTGGGGTAAATCTAAAAAACTACCCTAAAATCGGGTAATTATTTTCCACCATATGAAAGAGTCTATAGAGATACACAATCGCTCCATACATGCCGAATACCTGCGGGGTTGCCAAGTCGGTCAAAATCGAGGTTGAATTTCAAACGTTGTTTGCTCTCAGTGTTGCCAGTTGTTTGTTCTATTTTTTCCATCGGGTATCTTGAAAAGTTAAAATTAAAATATTTGCATCGAAAAAAATTCAAAATTCGACAAAAAGTGTTTCCTCAAAAATCTCATAAAGTATCATAAGTTTTCAAGATTTTTTTTCACCTGGCAATACTTTATCTACTTGCCTAAAAATTGTTTCCCCGGAAGTAGTCTGACAAATGTCGCGAAGTGCGTCAAAATCGGCTCGACGTAGTGACGGTACCCAATTTTTCGGATAAAAAGGCCGCTGGTTTGGCCGCCATCTTGAATTTTGAAAATCCGGCTCCGTACCGGTGTGGCCAACTCGATAGCGCATTCGATGCACTTTTTACCATTTTCCTAATGGCAATACCGACTGCGCTAGAGTCGACAAAGTAAAAAATGGGTGAAATTTTTCAAATCGCCGCAAACACCAGGGTTGCCAGGTGACGACGATGAAAATAGCCAAATGTCATTTCGGAGAGTGCCCTCTGTCGAGAAAAAGCATTTTTGAAATTCCCAAACGGCTCCTTCTACTTTTCACCTTTTTGGGGTAAATCTCCGAAATTACCCTAAAATCGGGGAAAAATTTCACGTCATTCGAAAGAGCCCGCGGAGCTCACGACCAGTCCATACCAGGCGAAGAGCTCCGATGTTGCCATGTGTGCTAAAAGTGCGTTTGAATTTTTCGAAAAAGTGAAAAAATCACAAAATGGCCGCTGCCGGCGCCGCCATATTGATTTTCCCGAGTTTCATAATTTTCCCATAGTCACGACTATATCTGGCAGGACACTCATTCACAGATTTTCTCCGCTGGCCACCCAGGTTCCCAAACAATTCGGGTTATGAGGGCATGTCGAAAAACACGTTTTCTACCGTGGAGCCCAGGGTTGTCAGCTCGCAGAAACGAAAACTACCAAAAGTCATAGGGCTCCCCCGGCGCCACACCGCATCGAGTCTGTTTTCCGCGAAAAGTGCGTATTTCGAAATTTCACTTTTCTCCCAAAATCTCCTAAACTACCACGAAAATGGTAGAAATTAGTACTAATAGAAAGATCCTATCAAGCCCCACGACCTGCCCATAGAACGCGAATCCGTCCGACGCCGCCATCTTGGAGAAAATCTCACTGGAAAATGGCGATTTTTCACTGCCGAAACAAAATGGCCGCCCCCGCCGCCGCCATGTTGACGCGCAAATGAAAA